GCAAAACCCAGCCCCGGATTCCGTGCTGGTCTCGTCTACCGGCGAATCGATAGCGGCAGCTTTGGCCAACGCGTCGAAACGCAAAGTCTACGCCGGTCTGGTGGCCGAAGGCTCTGACGGTGCGGGCGCAAAGGGGCCAGTGAATGGCAAGGCCGAACACGCGCGGAACCGAAGCATTAGCGAATACATACCCGACCCCAACTACGTTCCCAAGCGACACATCACCGTCTCGGGCTCCCACACGAAGCCGACAAACGGCCCCGACTCAGGCCTCGAGCCGCACATGCGCCGGGAGTTAAATCTTGCAGAATCGAGAGGCCTGACCCCGGCGATCGCGCAACCACCAACCCCGCCACCTAGCGAATCATCCAGAGACTCGACCGAAATGGCGATCGGCAAACCGAAAACCGCGATACCCGAGTGCTTCGAAGCCTACGGCCGGGACCGAAAGAAGAGGAGATGGAGGGCCATCAAGACTCTGGGTCAGGGAACGTTTAGTCGTGTGATGCTGGCAACTAGCCGGATGGATGATGGCAACGAATTATTACGAACCGATAACAACATCAGTCTCACGCCGATATCAAAAATGCCGCAGTCATTCAGGAAGACTCTAGTTGCCGTGAAAGTCTGCGAACACGGCCCTCGGGGAGGAGCGAGCGAGGAGAGGATCGAAATGTCACTCAAGCGCGAACTCGAAATAATGCAAACCATCAGCCATCCTTCACTGGTACATCTCAAGGCGTGGAACATTGAGCCAAGCCGGGCCATTTTGGTTCTCAGCCATTGCCCAGGGGGCGATCTGTTTGATGTGGCTACTGGCCATCGCCAACTTCTCAAACCAGTCTTGTTGCGACGAATGTTTGCTGAGTTGGTGGGCGCTGTACGGTACCTGCATGAGCGCAGGATCGTCCACAGGGATATCAAGCTCGAGAGTGGGTATTCCTCTTGGTTATGGACAGCCACACTTTGCTAACAAGTCGCAGACGTGCTCGTCAACTTGACGGCGCCCGAGCTAGCAGACCCCTCGATTAACTGGACGACGTATCCTCACTCGGTCATTACGTTGACCGATCTCGGCCTTTCCCGCCGCATCACCGATGACGAGAAGCTTGAGACGAGGTGCGGCTCCGAGGATTATGCCGCTCCCGAGGTTATCATGGGACTCCCCTACGATGGTCGCGCTACTGACGCGTGGTCCCTGGGTGTCCTACTCTATGCACTTCTCGAAGCTCGTCTTCCGTTCGACCCCTACCCCAACACGATGGACGGCCACCGCATGCGCAGCCGCACCAGTCACCGCATAGCACGCGCAGAGTGGCGCTGGATTGACTATGCTGGCCAGGATGGCGATCACGATGGCGACGAAGCCAAGTTCAAGGAGCGCGGTCTACTCGGCGCCATGGAGATTACCGAGGGCCTGTTGCAGCGTGCAAGGAGCCGATGGGTGCTGGAGAAGGTGGCAGAGAACGAGTGGGTCAAGGAAGCGATCCAGGTCGACGGCGGTGTGCGCTTCCGCGAAGAGGTTCAAGGCGCAGAGGTTTAATGATATTGGAGGCGTTCACTCCGTGATACCCACCTGGCGATAACGACGGGACACAGGGAAAGGAAATGGATCGGTTACGGTATTTAGGGTCTGGCTGTACGAGTAGGTGGGACGGACGGACGGACGGACGGACGGTGGGCATACGCGACAACCTGGCATGCACATGATGACCTGCCCCTCGGTTGTTGGGTAACCACCCAGCTGTTTTTACTTTTCCTTTTGATGTTCAAGGCGAGCATTTTGCACTCGCAAGTGGGGCTGGGGGGATACATGCAATTCCACCCCATTCGAGGACATTCAACGTCCTAGTTTACTCATTTACCCTTTAGATTTGAGGTTGTGAACCGAAAAGAAATCTTTTAGAGGCGGGAGACTTCATTTTTTTTTTCTACTCTTGGGGGATTAGCGCCGGTGTTTGTATATATCAGATGGGAGAACCCCAGATTTTTTTTTCGTCTTCTTTCTCTTCTTCTCTACCTGTACAATTGATCCGACACAGCTATGTCTACACTACGGCCATGCTCTACTTCTTTTCGAGGACCTGGCAGTATTTAGTCTTTTGACTCTAGGTCTAATTTATACTTCTTTACATGGCTTGAGGCTTTGTGGCCTGAAATGATGTTAGCAATGTCAAATGTCAAATGTCAAATAACCGTTTTATTGAGAGGATTTTTCTTGCCGGTGTCTGCAATGGTGTGTAGCTATGTAATGATTCCCCCCAATTTGGAAGGCTTTATCATGCTGTTAGGTTTCACTCTTAGGTGGCGCTCTTGGGGCTTGTTGGTATCGTTTCTGTGGGGTGTTTGGATTTTCCACGTCGCAAGAGAATCAATCCCGTTTGCGTGTCTGGAGGGGCTCCAGCTATTCGGCTGGCAACGACCGTGGGTGGGGGCTAAGGACGAAAGGGTTCCATGGTATGGCGGTGCGATGTTTTGATCTGAACATGGCCGTCCGTGCCTAACTACCTACCTACCTACATCTTGATAACCGTTTTCAAAGGAGGAAACGGTCTTGTTTGGAGACAGACGGCGGCACGTGGAAGGACTCTTGAGTTTCGTTTCGTTTTGTTTTGTTTCGGTCGCCACGCCGGGTTTCTCCCTTGCCCCCTTTGTTTCTTTCCTTTGATTCCTTGGAGTAGAGGGACTTTCTTTGTGACGCGGCGCGACTCGGTTGGTTTGGCCGGGGGAAAAGAGTGAAACAGTGGGCGTTGATGGGGTGATTTGGCGGGGGTTTAAGGGGATGGTACGTCGGAGACACCGGCGTGGCTTGAGGCTAGAAGTCTAGAAGAAGGCCGTGCTACTTTGTTTCTATTATTACTTTTCTTTGCCGCTATATCGAGCTAATGTTAGATTGGATACTCTGAATGAAATGGGAATCTGGAAAATGGGGGGGGGGGGGGGGGGAAACCCGTTTTAAATTTTTTTCGGCCCTAAAAACGCCGTGGGGGCCCGGGGGGGGGCGGGGGCAAACGGGGGTGGGGGTTTTCTTTTTGGGCTTTGTTTGGGGGGGGGGGGGGCGGGGGGGCGGGCTCCGTTGGGGGCGGGTTTTGTGGGGGGGGGGGGGGGGCCGGGGGGGGGGGGGGGTTCCTGTTTGGACTTGCTTTCGGCGTGGGGGGGCCGGGGGTCCGGGCTTCGTTTGGGCCGTGTTTTTTGTGGGGTACGGGATGGCGCGGGGTCGGGGGAGTCGGGATGGTTAGGAGATTTTGCCGAGGATGGAAGGTGGGCAGCGCAGCACAGAGGGTGGAACAAGTGGACACGGCTGAATTTATTTAGGTTTGGCAAGTTTTTTCTTTTTCGACACGTGTGATGATGGTTCCGAAGTCAAATACGGCGCTGATCATAGGTGTCTTTTGCAGACTGGGTGTTGTTGAGAACTTCCAGATGCGGCAGAGTCATATGGTAGTAATAACCTTGCGCATATGCAAGGTGAGGGATATGTTTTACTCGGCACAGTCTCTCATCTCCAGTCCGGCTTATAAGCAAAGTGAGTAGATCTTTCGCCTAGTATAGTTTCTCATCTCTGGTCTATTCGCGATCAATACCGAGCGGGCGCGGAAGAGTGCTAAAGGGAGCTGTGAGCGTTACGCTAGATTTTGGGATATGGTCTACGCTTGCCGTTGCCATTGCCACATTGTACTCAGAGCTCTACACGTTAATCAATGTAATTTTCGATCCTGTGGAAGCCTATACGACAAGTTTGAAGAGCCGAAACTGTGAATGCGTTCTATAAGGGATTTTATAGCGACTTGCTGTGCGCAGTTTCCGGCTGTATGGGTTCGTTACACGTACAGTTCCCACGTAACTACCAACTGGCAAGTTTCATTCACATGAGGTCTTCATTGGAAAATGAAACAGGCGCTTGATATCGATATAAAATATGCGGTAACTATCAATCTTGGGTTCGGCAGCGGCATCCATCCTTTTATCCGATAGGTCTGGTCTGGGAAATGATCAGTGCTTGAAGAGCTCTAGTGATTGCTTTGGTGGAATGAGGGGACGTGATGCCCTAGATTTGCCTCACCACCAAGTGCGAATGCCGTGAAATTGTCTCTAATACAGATGCTCCCTTATTGATTGCCATCGTCGAGCATCTGCTGGGTATTCGGGTTGTATAAATGGTGGCCAGGAAAGAATATTGCTGAGGGTTTTTCTTTTATTGACTAGCGCTTCCACCCCGTGCCTCTGGCTTAGAATTTGAACACACCTGAAGCTGTTGGCACAATGATTACTCTTCTTTCAATTAGTGAGCGGATGGAGTGGCGGCGGTACCACGAAGCCCACCAGAATAGATAGATTCAACTATAGAGTCAACCATGGAGTCAACCAATGGGTTTCTATAACTTTTTCTTTTACTGCTTTGTGCCCAAGGAAAAGACCGATACAGGACGTAGCGCGGATAGCTACGATGAGGTTTCCGTCCAGTGCCTGCATGAACATCCAAAGGACAAGTGCACGAAGGCCTCGAAAGGATGCCTGTGGAAAAAGGAAGGTCACCACGAGAGATTTTGCGACGGGTCCGGAGAACACTGAGAAACACCATTGCCTCCCTCGAGTTGGCGTTGAAGAAGCTCGAGTTGTGCGCCAGAGTCGAGATGATTATATGACGAGCAGCGAGAAATCATGTAAAACCGAGGCATGAGGCAGTACTCCTAGCAAAAACATCTACGGCGAGATTAGTCAGTTGGACGAAACTATTCTGTTTCATTCTTGAACATAGCATAATGCGCCTGTGAAACGATCAACGTCATGAATTCCATCCACGTCCCAAATGACCTGAAGGATGGCTAATTTGATTGAGCAGATAACTTGCTTTTGAACGCCCGAAGCCCCTGCCATCCCAAAAGATCCACGCGAGTTGCCTTGGCCTAGAAATGATTACATATTATCTTTGACACGTTGCCACACAAAAGAGACCTACGCTCATCACCGCTGTCCCCGTCTGCCCGTGATCGCGATGTTCAAAAGGCAACGCCATTCCCCGGCCAAAGAACGTCATACGCCGTCCCCTCATCCAAGTTCATGGACCCGCCCATCACCTCCAAGTCCGTGGGGTCCGAAAAGCTCATGTCCGCTGGCCCGATGAACTGCCCCAGGTCGTCCAGGTCTCTCCACGAGAAGCCTCGTACTAGGAGATCGGGCTGGTGCGGGAAGGCGGCCATGTTCCAGTGCGCGTGGCCGTGAGACATCCCGCCATAGTGTTGGTTGTGGTGGTCGGCATGTATCCCTGCACCGAGACCTCCAAAGGTGTTGTTGTTGGTGCTGGTCGAACTCGGCACAGTCGGTACCTGTACGGATACGGACCCGGGGCCCGTCGCCGTGTGGAGACCGGACGCCGGGTACGCCACGCCGCCTCCGCCGGCGGCGGCATCGATACCGTGACCGTCGGGGCCTGGGATGGTGGCGTTGGACTGTAGGGCCGGTTGGCTCCGTTGCTGCTGTTCCTGTGGTTTGCTGCGCCATAGGAGGGAGAGGAGGCGCGCGTAGCGTTGGCCTAAGCTGTGCGGGCTCAGGGATGAGCGTTGTAGGGCTTCGATTGTGACGTTTATGGAACGTTGCACACTTTCTGATGCTTCGCTGCCTAGGGCACCGGCGAGACGAGCCTGCGAACGTCAGCCAAAGGGACGTGCGAAGGAGGGGGGTGGTGAGTGAAGAGGATAATCGTACCTTGAAAAGAAACACGGCGGCGTAGATGACGTAGAGGTAGTACTTGAGCGGCATATATCGTAATCCCGTGTCCGAGTCGACGGAGGAGTTGAGGATGTTGAGGAGGGAGTTGGCGGCGTCCATTGATTCGTATATGAAGCGGGCGTCGGGGGTGCTGGCGAGGTCCGCGAATAGGGGACTGCTGATTGTTGTTGTCGGCGGCGGCGGCGGCGGCGGCGGCGGAAGACTCGCTGGAGCTTGCGAGCCTGGCGTCGTTTCGATCCCGTCATTTTGGGTCTGTCCTTTTGCGGACTTGTTCTCTTGGTTCTGTTTGTGGTATTGTTGGGTTTGCTGGATATGCTGCTGCTGTTGCTGGCGTGCTTTGGTGATGGCGCGGTTGATGGTTGCTTGGAAGGCAAAGGCATTGATGTATAGACGGAGAAATTCGTATGATAGGTTCAGACCTGCTTTGATCAAGGGGGTGACTGGAGAGAAAGGAGTGGTCAGTAAAGCTCGTGAACGGAGCATTCTCCCCGGGAACCGTGTGTTGGCATGAAGTGGTCGCGGGCTTACAGTTTAGACTTCCCCAGACGATCTTCCACTTCCGAAGCACTGCAAATGAGTCGTCCTGTAAATGTGAGCCATGGGTCCATGACGAGACGTGACGAAGAATCGTGATGGATATGAGATCATGAATGGATAAGCAAGCAGAGGAATTGGACAACTCACAATGTATCTCACGTATTCTCCCCCAAGGTACAGCTGTGCTCTATGGCTCGACGATGAGTATAGTATATCATGAGCATTACTGAAGAGCTGTATCAACTCAAGCTGAGCCTGGAACAGTTGTCCGAGATTATCGGCCCCGGCTTCTTGTATCCGCAGGGACGGGAAGTCTGCTGAGCGTGGTATGGTCGATGGTCCCGGCCCCCGGGACCAGAAGCCCTTGCCTACACGGATCGACACTTCCCGATCGCTCATATAGCAAGCTGAGAACCGAGAAACAAGAGCATTAGCAGGGGCAGATCATGAATCGTCTCCCGGGAAGGCTCACCAGCCCAGACCAGCCTCTTCCTCCGAAACGTCTCTGACGAGGGACTCGTCTTGTCCGACAGCAACCCCGTCTGCTCCAGACTCTGCAGGTATCCCAGGCGTATGGCGACGCCGATCTGCATCCACGCGCCCTCGTCTTCCTCACCGCGTCCGATGGACGGCTTCTCCTGCAATCTCTGGGGTGCCCACTGCGCGAGGATCAGCAGGGCCTCGACGGCACCGACGGTGGTCGAGCCCTTGTAGATCAGCTTCGATATGAGGGTCTCCATGTACCGCGAGCAGGCTTCGTGAACGCGGGACATGGAGGGTTCGTCTTTGGAGGCTACTGTGAATATTGCAGTGACGAGATGGGGTTCCGAGTCTATGAGGGATGAGACTGTGGCGGGGGTGTGGGTGAGGATGCATTTGTCTGCTACTGGGAAGTAGGGGTGGAAGTGGTCGATGTATCTGGCCATGGTTAGCCCGACTAAAGGGTACCTACGAGAGGGATTACATGGACAAGCGATATGGTAACATACAATGTGAGGAGCCGTGAAGCGACAGGCAGGCTCAAGGCCCCGCCGGAGATGGGTGGGTAGTGAACCGCTGCCGGTGTAGAAGGCTTCCGTGACCCTTTCCTGGGACTGCACTTATCCCGACCCGTAGCATCGCTCTCGGACAGATGGCGCATGTCGTCGCGCCGTTCGTCCCCATCGAGATCGGCAACCTGCGCCAGGAGGTTCAGCGCGTCAGAAGGGTTCAACAGGTCGCTCGACGTGATGTGCCCCTCAAAGTCGCCGGAGCTCTTGAGTGACCGGGTCGACCGGCCGCCGGGGGTGTCCGGCTGAGAAGCGGAGTCGGGCCAGCTCGCCGACTTCCCTGATGGGCCGTCGTCCTCTTCTGGAGAGCACGACCACGGCTCGCCATCGTTCTGGTGCCGAGACTCCGCCGGGCTCGTGGAGTGATGCATGTGCTGGTCTTCTCGAAGGGTCGCCGACGACGAAGTGCCGGGATCACCTCCGGAACCCGCGTCACAAGCCGTCGCGGCGGTGACGGCGTCCGAACGCTGCTGCTGCTGCTGCTGTTGCGGGAAGGCATCGGCGTCATTCTGTGGCAGGCGGACAAACTTCCGGGGACGTCGACCGCCTCTTCTCGACGTTGCCAAGACGCATTCCTTCTGTTCTCTTACGCAGCGACGACAGGGTGGTATGCCTGGGTTGCCACCATAGTCTCTACACAAGAGGGTACAAGTTTGGTGTTAGTCAAAAACAAGCTGGCCTTGGCAAGTGTATCTCATGAGTTCCAACCAATCAATCACTCTTATCGTCACCCAATACCTGACATACGGTAGTGTGTGTATGGGTGTGTGTGTGTGTGTGTGTGTGTGTGTGTGTTTGTATGTGTTCTCATGGGTTATAACGTTTCGGCAAAGGAAATTGCTCACAAGTCACATCTCGTCTTCCTCAGCCGGCAGGAGACGCAGGCTCGCGATACCCGTCTCTCTTTGGCAGTAGCCGTCTCGGTGTGAGGCAGGCGATGGTGCTGCGGGGGGGTGGTCATGATGATGGGCGGCCGGCAGTCGGCGGCGGCCGTGTCCACAGACATGGTGGTGTTGAACGCGTCGGCGACTCGGTGTACTCGGGTTCGTCGGTCCAAGCTTCTTCTGGCGCGGCTGTCTGTCTGTGTGTGTGCGTGAGTGCCGTGTGCGGGTGCGGGTGCGTAGTGTGCGTTCTGCGGTGAATGTCGGGCCAGCGGCGGTTGGTGGTGGACCGACTGGTGTATGGATTGGGACCTGGGGTGGAGAACTGGAGACTCTGGAGGCATGAGAGCCTGGATGCGAAGGGGGTAAAGAGAGCATCGGCAATCCAAGGGGTCTGTCACAAGTCAACCTTGGGACGGATATTCGGCAACGAGGCTTGCTCGATTCGGCGATAGTTGGAGGGCTTTTAATGTTTTTTCTCTAGCGGTGCCATTGTCGCCCTAAAATCGATGCATGGCGCACTCTTTGATGCTGAAGGTTTACGCCCTCCCTGTTGTGCGACCCCAAAGACGTCAAGTCAAATACATACTTTGGAGTAGTTACAATTCCTAGGTATGACCGATCGAGAGCTGACTCGTCCCAATTCCCCCTCATTCAGTCTTCACGTTTCACACATCCGAGGATTCGGGACCCTGTTGGAGCTTGAACTCTCTACCAGGTTGGTCCTGACATCCCTGTCCAATCGCGTGGAGAGCAACAAGAAGCTACTGCTCGTCATCTGTGACGAAACAAATGAGAGATCTCGTTTACCACGAGGCATCCTTTTCATTGGTGAACTACCTTCCAGTCCATCGGGGGGTTAGAAAAAAGTACCCCCCTACTTGAGTCTACTCTCGTGTGGCACTTCATTTCAACCCGCCGGCTAGGACTAGCTCTTGGCCAGTCAGATATCCAGTCTTGACAAACCTGGGGAACGAGTAGTACGGGTCAGCAAAATGAAAAGGGACCATAGTAGCTGCCGTCGGCAACTTACATTACGACAACGTTGGACACCTCCTCGGGAGCGCCTAATCTGTGGACCGGGACGCTGGCGGCAATGGCTAGCCCAGGGTCTGTGGATCTCAACTCCTCAAGGTCATCTTTACTATCCCAGGTACTATAGATATAGACACCTTGTTAGTTCAAGTCGGGACTATATCGCGACTTTTTTTTCTGCTTACGTTGATTTCGGTGTTGCAATCATGCCAGTGGCCCCAATCATGGCGGGCAGAACCTATAACAAATTGTTTTAGCTGAATAGAGAACAACTCGCGAGAGCCTCGGTCGGAAGACCAAGAAATTGAGGCTTACAATATTCACGGTCACACCTTCCGGTGCCAAGAACGTGGCCAGATTAAGACCCATTGAGCTGCGCTTAGAGTTAGACAAGATTCAGCCCCCCGCCTCTCGGTCTCGCCGTAAACGCCAGTCCCCCCACCGGTACATGCCGAGGAAGGATGCGGCCCCAGGAAAGTAGTCCAGAAATGTGCGAATGTGACGAGTACGGATCGGTGTAGATCAAATAGAAACACACAAAAACTCACCAAAGAGCGCCCTTGGTGGCGGCGTAGTGGCACCCGTTGATCCCCCCACCCCGGCTCGCGATACTGCCCACCAAGACGACACGGCCCCACCCCTGGGCGCGCATGCCGGGCAGGCAAGCTTTTGTCACGACGAATTGGCTGCGGGAGTTGACTTCCATCATCTCGTCCCAGTCGTCCTCGCCAATATCCGCCGGGTCGCGGATCCGGCGGCCGAGGCCGGCGTTGGCGACGAGGACCGAGACGGCCTTGTGCTTCTGCGCAATCTCGACATTGGCGAAGATGCTGGGTACCAGGTTCCGGGTTGATTCTCTGGAGGAGAGGTCGGCCTGGAAGGGAATAAAGAGCTGTGATGGATGTTTGTCCCGCAACTCTTTGGCTAGGGCATCCGCCTTGGTCTGTTCGTGGTGTAATATACCGAATAAATTAGTTCCCGTACTTTGTGGTGGTGGCTCGACGAGCCGCGGCCCCGTACGGCCCTCCCCCATCATCCCGCCCCCATCTGTCATCGGTGATGCCGTACCTGGCTTGACGAGTAGTGTAATGCGACATCGCAGCCCTCTGCAGCAAGAGCATGGGCAACGGATGATCCTATGCCACCACTGATCGTCGGTGACATTGTCTGGTTAGCGGGAACATACGATGACAGCCGGTAGACAGCCTCACTGGAGGTGGGACGCCACTTACCTCGCCCCTGTCACTAGAGCCAGGCGGCCCTGGGTGGTGTTGTCCGTGCTTCTAATGCTGTATTGGACCATCTCGATAGTATGACCCTTGCACAGCCTGCGGTGGCTTGTAACTTGGTGTGCAACTTGATGATGGGTACAAGGTAAAGCACGGGCTTTCCTGGTCACAAGTATTCGCTTGTGTATGGACTGGGATATCTGGTGTAGGTATGGAGGTAGAAACCCGAGGGTTTAGATGGCCTGGTTGATAAAGTCGATTGAGAGGGTCCAGAATGAGGGGTTGGAAGAAGGGCGCGGATCGAAAGCCGAGTTGGATAGCCGACAAGTTCAATTGCCGCCGCTATCGGTAATAATAAACTGGAGCTTGAATCACCGGTGGCTCGATTTGTCACTACATCGTGATTCCTGTGTGTAAAAAGCGCATGGCATGGTCGCCCTTTTCTATGTAGAATACTGGTTTGGAGGGAACTGTGAGGCAATTCAGATTTCGGCAATCGGCAATTAGCATTGAACCGCTAACTACAATCGGTCCACTGGAGATTGGCATTTGCCGGCTTTCAAGTCCTTTCTGCCAGTGAAAGGAAGCAAAGAGGTCATGAGGTGTACAAAAAAGCCACATTTCAGTAGCCGACGCCTCTCACTAGCAGAAACTCTACTTGAGTCGGGTATCGAAAGAAGTCGCCCTTATGCTTGCGTGTCAACATCTGAATTGCCGCCTGATGAAGCAGGTCGGTCGCCCACAAATGGCTTGACGCGATTGCCCTCGAGACGGCAGAGACGGCACTAGACATTCTCCCATCCCGTACTGAAACCCCAAAACCCCGCACAAATGCTTTACCCCGTGTCGTGTGGGTTTCCGGGGAAGTGGTTCTTTCACAATCGATCTTATGACTTGGTGGTCATCACGAACTAATTGATCCTATATGTCGCTTGTGTCCATGTCCTTATAAACGTTGGGGAACTCGTTCAGACGACAGTCTTTGCACGTCCCTTTTTCCTTTATTGACCGGACGCTCCGAGAGCAGAAGCAGAATACACTCTCGACTACGATATATACTTTTTGAAATTTTCACAGCAACAAAACTCTTCACACTCAGCATGGGCGAACTTCGCGGCCAGCGGCTTGTCTTGGCCGTCACCGTTCTCACGTCGTTGGGGTTCATGCTGATTGGCTATGACAATGGCCTTATGGGAGGCTTAGGTAGGCTCGACACAAGTTGCCAAGATTTGCAACACTCTCTAATGGGTCTGTGTAGTCGCTGCACCGGCGTTCAACTCGACATTCGACTCGCCGGATCCGACCATGACAGGTCTCATCGTTGCCATCTACGAAGGCAAGTCTAGTTGACGATGGGTGTTGAAAACGTAGCTCGGCTAACAGGTCGATCCTTAGTTGGCTGTTTCTTTGGTTGTGTTGCAACGGCGATATTCGGCGAGAAATACGGCCGTCGAAAGACCATCGGAACGGGATGCTCAGTCATGGTCGTCGGCGCCATCATCCAAGCCGCCTCATTTGGGCGTGCCCAACTGATTGTTGGGCGAATCGTCTCAGGTATCGGGATGGGCATCGTTAACTCTACCGTTCCCGTTCTGCAGGCCGAGTTCAGCCCCAAGGCAAGCAGAGGTATCTGTAAGTTGAAACTTGTCTATAGACACGACAACGCGGCTGCCAGGGCTTTTGCGCGAACCTGAAGGCTGGACAGTACGTAAATTTGACGCTGACCACATGATCACAGACGTCTGCGCACAGCTTTCTACTCTCAACTTTGGAATCTTTCTCATCTACTGGATCGACTACGGCTTCTCGTCACACGTTGACAGCTACGCCTGGAGGATCCCGGTTGCCATGCAATGCTTCTGTCTCCTTCCAATGTTTATCATCTTGCAGTTCATACCAGAGACTCCTCGCTGGCTTGCGGCACACGACCGGCAAGATGAGTGCTTGGCAGTGCTGAAGCGCCTCAATTGTGACGAGGACGAGGACACGGCGTACGCCCTTCACCACTCAATCACGCAGACGGTGACGTTCGAGGCCGAAAACAGCGCCAGTTCGTGGAGAGATCTCTTGGTGCAGGATCGCATCCAGAGCCAGAAGAGGTTTCTCATTGCTTGTGCTATTCAAGGATTTCAACAGCTTGGCGGAATCAATGCCATCATCTGTAGGTTGCCCCCACCCAAGGCTGCAGGTGTTTCTTTGCTTTGAGCTGAGATGTGCTGACTGGTGGCTCTGTTAAAGACTACAGTAGTACGCTTTTTGAGAAGAGTATCGGATTCGATAGCCACATGTCGGCCCTCATGTCTGGCTTCCTCCAGACTTGGTTCTTCATCGCCTCGTTCATCCCATGGTTCTTGATAGACCGTGTGGGCAGGCGACCCTTGGTAAATCTCTGCCCCTCTTTGTTCCTACAGAGCGCTGTGAAGAAGTTTGACTAACGAGTTTTGGCAGCTCTTGTCTATGATTAGCGTCATGGCGGCCGTCATGGCGGTTCAAGCAGCTCTCATCTACCAGGTCCAGGACTCTACCGCCATTGCCACATCAGCCGGCATCGGCGCTGCAGCTATGCTTTTTGTCTTCCAGGGAGCCTTCACCATCGGCTTCCAGGCGACTGTTTGGGTCTACCCGTATGTTCTTCTTCTTCTTCTTATTCTGCCTCCTTCAAAGTCGAGTCTGCCGCTAACCACCGTACCTATGTAGCTCCGAGATCTTGCCTCTGCGGATTCGACAATTGGGCTCCTCCATTTCCAGTGCAACAAACTGGATTTTCAACTACGTAAGTCACAATGGACTGCGACGACGGTGTAGCTGCTGAAACAAGTTTGTAGATGATTGTTCAAATCACGCCAATCTCGATTTCAAGCATCGGGTGGAAGACTTACATCATCTTTGCGGTCTTGAACGCCGCGTGGGTCCCCATCATCTACTTGTTCTTCCCCGAAACCAAAGGCTTGGAGTTGGAAGACGTTGACCGTCTCTTTGCCGGTGACGATTTTGAGGAGAGGAGCCATGACAGAGACAGTAAGCACGAAGTGTGGGATGTCGAGGAAGTCAGGGCTTAGCTGTAGTTACAGGTTGGGGACCATACTGCGGATCTACGGGCTGTGGAAGTACTGTGGAAGGCGATGGGCTTACTGAGTGTTAAGCCACTGAGAATTTTTGGGTTGACAGTGAGCAAGATTTTTGTAACTGATTTCTGGTTGTATGAGGTGGCATCCTTTCCACCATGTGTCGGCGGTAATGCAGCTAATTGCACACGCACAGGTCAGATCAATCAGTTCCGTATAGGTGGTAGACTCAATCGCCACTTTGCGATTCAATTGGTGTGGTGAATAAACTTCTCGCCAGTGGAACATGATCCACACAATTCAGCCATAAGCAGGAGTTTATTTACTACAAAAGCCTCAGGGGTCCTGTCGATTTATGTGTGCAAAAGACTTTAAACTTCCCGCGTCCCGAACTGGGATGATGGCTGCGTTGCTTCTCACACAATCCTCTATTACCGTAGCCAGAAAAGCTGTGACAACAAGAATTCAATATCTCGCAAATTTCAAGCAATATACCATCATTACGGGCTGAAGTCTCTCACGTCTCACAACCCTGTATTAATGCTGACCCGTGACCATGCACGTGAGGGAAATGCAGGTCTTGAATCAATTGCCGATCATACGCCGAAGACTTACTATAACTATTCTGTGGCTGGCAAGAACAGGTGAATCGTGCCCGCAAGCGTGCCCCGCATCCGTGCGGGAATGAAGACATAAAACGCCCCGACTGATGCTCAGTTTCCAACTGCTACCGTCGACGCTAAGAATTCTCGCTATACTTCTCGAAGAACCTTCTTTTGCCAAGGAGAACGTCTCAAATCCTCAGTAACCATCTCATCACAACTCATTGCCAGCTCTCACAATGGCAAATTTTGTTGTCTTCGACGACAGCGTCACGAAGCTGTTCGGCTCCGCGCCGTCGCTCGAGTTGTTGCACGAAAACCAGGACTACCCGTTCGCTCACGAGGCCGGCGTCTTCATTGAGCGCAGCAACACGCTCTTCATCACCAGCAACCAGTATAATGACCATTCTGCCGGTGGTCGCAAGATTCAGATTTCCCGCGTCACACTCCCCTCCGACGGGAGTTCCAAAACCATGTGCGAGGAGATTGACCCCGCCATCATAACCATGGCCAACGGAGGCGTCAACTACCTCGATGGTATCGTCTTCTGTGCTCAGGGCACACACTCCTCGCCTGGTGGTCTGGTGTTTATGGAGGCCGAACCGCCTTACCAGACCCGGATGCTGGTCAGCTCGTTCCACGGCCGGGAGTTCAACTCTGTCAATGACGTCGTGGGCCACAGCGACGGCTCGCTGTGGTTCACCGACCCCATCTACGGCTTTGAGCAGGGCATTCGGCCCAAGCCGAAACTTCCCAACCAAGTTTACAGATACGACCCCATCCGCGGCTCCATCAGGGCCATGGCGGATGGCTTTGGCAGACCAAATGGTATCTGCTTTAGCCCCGACGAGAAGACGGTGTACATCACAGACACCGACTGGATTCACGGCGATGGCTCAACTGACCTTACCCGAGCGTCAACAATGTGAGTCCCGATGACGTGATTCCAGGCTGTAGTTGGGATACCGCAACTGCATGAGATTGAGTAAACTGACGAGTGACGGTAGTTACGCATTCGATGTGGTCCCTTACTCTGGAGAACCATTCCTGACAAACAGACGGCTCTTTGCCATGGCGGATACTGGCATTCCTGATGGTGTCAAGTGTGACGTTCACGGCAATGTGTACAGCGGCTGTGGTGACGGTGTCAGCATCTGGTCCCCAGGCGGTGTCTTGCTAGGAAAGATTCTTGTCCCGGGTGGTGCTGCCAACTTCTGCTTCGGCCGCAACGGAGAAATCTTCATCTTGAATGAGAATCGGTTATGGAGGGCCAAGCTGGCGGATGATACGAAAGGCGCATTGCTGTGTATCTAAGCGTACTTGGGCATGAGACTTTCAGCACATAAACGACCATAGATTCCAGATACGACGCTAGTTTCTAATTTCTAAATAGCTAGTCTATATCAAACGTCAGTCGTGAAGTGATGAGTACACTTGGGGGCCAATGCAGAACAAAACCATTGGTCTTACCTAAGATGGCTAACCCTACTACTTCTTTTGTTCCAATAGCCACTGAACACCCTTGATCGTGTCTTCCACAAAAGTTTTACTCTTCTCCAGGAGTGGGAAGTTGGTCCAGAAGTAGTGAGGAAGCCCAGAGTACACATCAAGCCTCGTCTTCACCCCGGCTTCTTCTCTCAGCACCCGTTCGTAGATGAGGCCTTCGTCTCGCAAAGGATCCAATCCAGCCAGCTGAAGATAAGCAGGCGGTAACCCCTTGTGACCTTTACCGATTCTTCCAAAGTGGAACGGGATGAAGAGAGGACTCTCCATGTCGGGCTGGACGATGGCGCGCAGGCCCGCTTCTGCATCACCAGCGTTGCTGCCTATGACCGGGTCTTTGCATGGCGTGACGGAGGGATGGCTAAGATATTCGGGACGGTATTGCTCGGGAATGAATTCTGGGGGCAACATGCACATGATGGGGGGAACGCAGAGGTACTGCCCAGTGAGCGGCGGGGAGAGGTTGTTGTCGCGGGCGAGGTGGGCGAGGACGGCGGCGATGTTCCCGCCGGCGGAGCCGCCGCCGATGATGAAGCCCCGGGAAGGGTCTGCGCCTAGTTCGGTTGCGTTCTTAGCAGCCTGGAACAAAGTTTGAGGGTCAGCACGCGTTTCAGTCGAGGGAGATGCTACGATTAAGCTGACCCATTGTAACGCGTCCCAGCTATCATTGATGCCGGTTGGGAAGGGAAACTCGGGGGCGAGACTTCCTATGCGTCAGTGAATGCAATTGTGATATTGGTGTCTTTGACGAACCGGTATTCGACATTGATGCAGACTGCGCCCAGATCCCTACTGAACAGGCGACAGTTTACCTCTTCGTCCGAGAGATCGCCCATACACCACCCGCCCTCGTGGTACATGACGATGAGCGGGCTGCCTCCAGAGGGAATCTTCACAGGGGTGTAGACCCGGAGTGTGAGTTCGTGCCCGTCTCTCGCGATGATTTTGCGGTCCTCCTCGCGGACCTGCTCCGGGGTGGGACCAGGGAGGTAGCGCAGGTGATGAGACTCACGCAAGCGCGTCGCTCGATGTTCGCGCATGGCGAAGAAGCCATCTTGTCCACGGTTGGGGTCGCCACGCTGCGGATCCCGGAGAGGCCGGGCGGCGAGTTCCTAGTCGAGGAGACGTCTTGTCAGTAGCGGAAGCTGGGGGTTTCAAAGGGACGTGTGGTTTGAGGTCAACGTACGGCTTCGATGAGAGGGTCCGGGATGCCATAAGCGAGGAGCTCTTCAGGAGATCGCGGTGCCATGGTTCACTGTTACCTTGTTCAAATCGATTGAAGCAATTGAATACCTATCAAATGAACTTTGCTGGCAATGTGCGGGGATGTAAGCTGACGAGGGCCGTCGGAGACGTTTGTAAAATCCAACGCTAATGGTGGGAAGGATTCCAGATTATCTAATCGTTGCACTGATCAAAACAGAGAGATATTGACTTACACGGGGAACTTGAATACAAGCACAGCCGAATGAAGATTGTATAAAACACCAGAAGATCCACTAGGATCCACAGAAAGCGGATAGTGGTCTGTCCCGAATTCCGTACAGTCGAGTTCCTAATAGAAGTCGTCTTCAGCTCATGCAAGTTGGCGCGACGGCAGCTGGCCTGGCGAGTAAAAATCAGGAAGATGCAGAAAGATGTTCGTGAAATGTGTTTGCTGAGTATGCGTCTATTGGCTCACACCCGCCGACTCTAAGCCATCATGATCAGCAAGGTCAGGACTGGTGTGCTTCATCGACCTGTAGTCCACGACAACCGACGGGGGCAGCCCCACTAACAAACATTATGGGAGAATGGCGTATCGTCAACAGGAGCCGTCGACTGGTGTTATGTTTCAGACTCTGGGAGGCGATTAACACCATTGGCTACAGTGAATGGTATTGTCTTTCAATCTCCGGCCCCCAACGTTTCCGAGCGACAAGTTAAGAGACAGGGGGGCTTTGAGTCACCAAGGGAACGGCGGAGACAACCGTTGACCGAGCTGCTCACACCGAGTAATTGGCTGGCCTACGAGAAGGCAACTGGTTGCCTTGCCAAGCCCTGGCGGAAAGATACTCAACAGTTCACGCGGATGCGCCACCACGCATGCGTGATGGACTGGAATACCGATACCCCTGGCCGAGAGAACAAACAGCCTGCCCACCTCTGATTCAAACGCACTCGGAGGAAGCGATGTTGGGAGAACCGTGGTCTTCCCTCCCCCTATGCTGTATTGCACCTGATTGCCGCTAAAATGGGGTTACTGATGGATTCAGTAGCGAGGTGGGAAATTTTGAGACGCGTGGATCAATCACATCGACAGCGTTGAAGATTGCTACGAAACTACATTCTCGAATCAATAAATCCCAATGTAAACTTGAAAACTCCAAAACCTGATGGTTGATGTGAGATTTTGAAGATTTTGATGGCTGATGGCCCAGAACTCTCTCGTCCACAAATGTCTGACCCCCCGATCACCGGTCCTATTACCACTCAGCGAGGTTGTCCTAAAGTAGGGGATGAAACAGGGGATTTAGGATGGATCAGCAAAGCGAATTGGTCTGTCATCTCTCAGTAACGTCTGTTGCGAGTATGCGGTGTCCAGAAGTGGTCCTGTCCACGATGCTACACGTCTCCTGCATGCTTCCACACCCTGACGAAGCTATGGCTGGCTGGCTGGAGCCACTCGCCACTGTCGATTCTACGCTTTTACTGACATGATAGCTTATCGAATGAACAGAAACCATCCGAGAAGAGGAAGAAGAAGAGGAAGAAGAAGAGGAAGAAAGAATTGTCACTGGGGCGGCAGGACCTGGGACGTCGACGTGTCGTGATCGTAGGCTGGAGTGCTGACGGCTGAGACCGGGGTTTTGGGCCTCAGAGAACCACCAAGTGTTTCCCTCGGTTCCTGTAGGCGAAACAATACTGTCTGTTGCATTTACCTCTCCTCCGATCTACAATTGCTGATAAAGTCGCCATCCCCGCGGCCAACAACTATTGAACTACGATGATTCCGCCCCTCCACAACTCTTACACTTGCTCTTAGTCTCTTCAACACTTCTCGCTCAGGTAAACATTTTCATTTTGCAGCCTTTCTCAGGTACTGGCAGATTATGTATGGCTTTTTTGCTCCAGCTTTTCAGCTCCTTCTATGAACTTACCGGCAATACCACGATTTGCCAACATAGCCAGCAAACTCGCTCATTTGTCAGAGCTACTTTTACATCAATGGAGATACAAGAGCTAATCACCTAATTCATAATCAAAGCAATCTTCTAGCAGCCTTTCCAGCTCTTACAATCGTTGATCAACCGAATATCCGCGAACCGCCGCCACTCAGCTCACTAGAGAAACATTACAATACATGATGGATCCTCAGTCCAATCAGAAGGATGAGCTGTAAGATACAATCTCTTTAAACTCCATCACTGAGATGCCTCAGCTGACTTTGTTGGTTCAGACTCCGTGAGCCTTCGCCCCAGCGAGCTTCAAGCACTGTTGCGGCAACATGTGGCTCGTCTCGATCGAGCAAAGCTTCGCCTAAGGAGCAAAATGTGACTTTGGGAATTGGAGAAGAGAAAGACTTAAAGGGCTCAAAAGACGGACAACAGACGGGCATGGACAATTTCGACTGGTTGAAACATGTTGGCACACACTTCGATCATTAAAATACACGGCCGCGCAAGGAAGATTTAGAGGCTCCCTTGTCGACCAAGTAAGGTTTGATGAGAGTACGGTTACAAGACCTTCATATCTGTATTCACGCTGTTCAAAGGGCAACAATTATCAGGTACAGACCAGATATCATCTCAAGTCTAAAACGGTTCACCGTCCACCTCACCGTCGTGGGTCTACCGTTGTCGACGGCTGTCGCGGCTCACGAGTCAGACCGGGATCCATTTTGCACCCAATCCACACTTTGATGGAGTCTTGCTGCGCCCTACGTCATCAAATGACATCATGCCGTCGCATAACGTATTGACCATAGGTTTTCGGTCCTTTTCGCGGCCTACCGTTGGCTGTCTCGGAGAGAAGACAATGGCGGGCCGATAAAGTGTTCCTTTCCAAGTCTGCCCCTCCAACCCCTCCATGTGGGTAGTCGTATCGGAAAGAAGCGTAGAGAGGATTGCCATTCAAAGCCTCATGTTGTAGACACTTGTCGTCTTTCAGATCATGGGGGAAGAAGGCGGTGATCACGGGTAGTCAAATGCCAGTTTTGTACAGTACCCTGGAGCTTAGGGGAATATCCCTGAGCTTCTCTGTCCACGCATTGCTTTCATTGGCAATGAAGCCTGCGATAAGCCACGCTCGACAGGGAAGTGACTGCAGTACCGTTTTCCTGAAACCTGCCTGCGCTCTTTTTGTAGGGAACCCACTTGCCCCTCCATCCATGATCCGCCCAGGGACCGTCGCGTTGTTCCTGAAGATAGACTCCCCCACCTTTCACAAGCTCGCCGATCATTGAAAATCCGTCATCAACATTGACAACGTTCTTTTCTTTTCTCTCTTCACTCTAGCTTTTCCTCATAGCTCTTTCATCCCAAAAATTGCCACTCTCTACCCGTCAAGATGCCTCAAGTAAGTAAGATTCCTGGCTTCAATGGGCAAACCTTAGGGCACTGGCCATGGAACTTCGACGAGATCAAGCCACCTAACCGCTCTCATAACAGATCAAGTGCCTCCTGTTCGACTGCGATAACACGCTCGTCCTCTCAGAGAACGCAGCCTTCGAGGCCTGCGCCCAGCTCGCCAACCAGATCCTCGAAAAGTTCGGCTTCGAGAAGCGCTATGGCGGCACCGAGCTCATGCACCAGTTCGTCGGCCAGAACTTCCGCAGCATGATGACCGGCCTCTGCGCGCGTCACGGCTTCACCATCCCCGCCGACGAGTTTGACCAATGGGTCGCCAAGGAGCTCGACACCACCATCGCGAACCTCCGCGCCAAGGCCGAGCCCTGCGAGAACGTCATCGAGGTCCTCGAGAAGCTCCAAAAGGACAAAAAGTACCACATGGCCATCGTCTCCTCCTCCGCCATGCCCCGCGTCGTCGCCTCCATCGAGAAGACCAAGATGGACCAGTTCTTTGCCGCGCCCAATGTCGGCATCTTCTCCGCCGCCAGCAGCATCGACCCCCCCGTCTCCAAGCCCAACCCGGCCATCTACCTCCACGCCTGCGAGAAGCTCGGCTTCAAGCCCAGCGAGTGCATCGCCATTGAGGACAGCAGGAGCGGCGCCACCGCTGCCAAGAACGCCGGCATTCCCTTGCTGGGATACGTCGGCCCCTACTACGAGGAGGGCCAAGAGAAGCTGGACTCCATGATTAAGCTCTTTAGCGAGGAGCTCGGCGCTTTTGACGTCATGCACAACTGGAAAGACTTTGAGAGCATCTTGGCCAAGTACGAGAGCTCATAAGATACCCGTAAACTGTTTAGAAATTTGCGATTTTGAAATGAATGGATGCCCGGCATAGGGCTGGAAGCTGTGTGATTGGCATTCCACACATGGACTCATAGAGCTTGGGAAAATAGAGATGAATAGAACGGACCACCTTTTGCAGCTTTGCATAAATCTGTGCCCTCGAACTGTCTACTACAAGTCTTCGATGAAATCCTAATACTATTCTTAGCGCCGCCCTAGACATAGACCTCGTCACGTTCCGGTCAGGGTGACTGTTGCAGTAACGCGTACCGTGACGGTTAGTGTTTGTGACAGGTCTATGATTTGAGCTGGCTCAAGGGTCATTGCAGAAGCGGACGCCGGAACGATACTCGCCACGGTCGAGAAATTGGTGATCGAGTCTACGTCGCGGCAACATCAATCCGCAGTGACTGACTTTTTGTCGTCCTTGTCCACTCTCAGAGCGGAGCCACCTACAACAGCGGATACCACACCAACCAAAGAGGATATGAGAGTGAACACTAAGACGACGATAGTTACCCAGTAGATGGTCCAATCATCATTACGCCGACTGTCGCGCAGGACTTGCCTGATAGTCCGCGGGGAATAGTTTTCAAATTCCTCCTCCAACTACAGCAATCGTGGGCTACTAGTCGTATTCTCTGGCACGCATTGGACTAACGGGCAACACCTTTCCAGCACTAGGATCGATTCCGCCCAACTTGCCGCCTGATAAACTATGCTGCATTTTTTTGCAGTAGCTCGTGTCCCATTTTAGGCTGTTTTGTCGTTCTATGGGAGCAGCAAAGTTAAATTTAGAATCGTCTTGTCAAGGAACTAGGGGTCGTTGAAATGATGTCTACGAATGTTGAGAGTTGGTTTACCGGTTCTATATGCTCTTTCTAAACAATGTTAGTTGTGAAGCTGGTGGTGGTGACAAGTTCCAACGATTGAGCTTCTTAAGTGCGGAGACATGAAGAAGAACATTTAGAGGAAGTCGGTCTTCTCTTTTCGTCCGTTTCCGCACGAAAAGATGTTCAAAGATATCGTCAGTATGCTGTATAGCAAATTCGTCAAAATTGTCGGGCAGGGTAGGCATATCGGAAAAGACCTTATTAGGCGGCGGCGGCGAACTCCGATATTGATGATCGGGAAATATGGAACGGCATCGGCGACTGTGGAGGTTTTGCGTTCCCAACGGTAGACAGTTTCAAGCTCTTCACCTGGTGATCGGCTCTCGCCAGCTGTGTTGAAACGCCGCAACAGCCAGATTTCGATTACCAAGTCGAGTGGAGTTCAAGACAGAACCTATCTTGTAATTAGGTATTTGGTCTTGGCAGTAGTCGCCCTTTAGTAGTGAGAACCTTGCGCGACTAATCAATACTCACCCCCGAATCAGGTAGAAAGGCATACTACTTGCGGCACATCGAGATCTAATAGTTCTAAAAGCCAATCTTCATTGCGCAGGTCGACAGCCTGTTGCTATATTGTCTTTCGGTCTTTGTTCCGGTAATTTTTAATCAATTATATGAGTTCGAGTAGGTCGCGGAATGTGCGAATAAAGTGTGAGTTCTCGGAAAAAAATATCAATTCTCGCTCTAACGACAAAATGTGGTTATCAAGCTCACGTTCCGGTCTGATACACAGCTTCAAGTACAATACTGTCAAATAGACCAGACTGGGTTGGATTGTACTACACTTGATCTGTCGAACAATCTACCTCCCGTATTTTAGCTGCTGCATCATTTTCCAGGTCGTCTTTGTTGTGGGTAAACCACGGAGCCTACATCGAAGGGGCTCATCTTGACTCATGTGAAGAAAACAAGTACACAGGCGTTTGGTCAGACGATTTCGTTCGCGCAAAAGATCAGTTCAATGTATTCAAACCTCGGCTTGAGTCTTTCTCTTCAATGTGGCTCATTAGTAAATTGAAGTTGTGGAACGACAATACTTGGGCATGTCGTTGCCATTGGTCTGATGCAAGTACGAATTATCATCACACAATATTGGAAATGCGTAGTTCTTCTCTGATATTTTCCTGCGGAGGCGAATTCTCACATGCTCGAACAAACTTTGCTGTCCTCTCGCGACGGATCATCAGTAATCTATTTTACTGCAGGTCAAATTATGGAGGTAAAGAGCCTCACGGACGGTATCACACCTGAGGAGAGACACCAATAGTATACCGAACCGCTCGGCATCAAGATGAAAAGAAAATAATTCCAAACAGCAAAACCTTGACGCTACTAAGTCCAGATTTGATGGGCTCGTGGATTGAGATGGAGAAGGCTATTTCTTCCTTCATTGCGGTTGACCTAGTCGACGAATATCAACCCACCCCGAGCCTTATTGTCGAGGCATACGAAATAGAACGAGATTGTAAGAAACCGAAACCAATTGTGTTTATCAGCTATTACTCACAGCCTTGTGGAAAGAGAATGGCAAAGACCTTGCAACAGAATGGAGTGCTAGAGACTGAATCAGGTACATTCCGTGGAATGTTTTGCCGCTCATAGCGTGATGAAGTTGGGATGGTTAGGTCAGAGATTTGGATGGTTGGAGGATTAAGATATCGCTAGGTTGGGCAGTTTTTTGACTTGTTGGTCTGTGGTTCGGACCACCAACATTTGCGCGCCTTCAAGCATGACGTTGCTAAATGCTGTTGCAAACCCCGATTCATATAGCTGACGTTTTGAGTTGGAGATGAACTGAAACTAATGTAACTAAAGTGAACAAAATAAAACATGGATTCTAAGAAGAAACTTTTCAATTTGGTGGTACTTCATTCGCAACTCGCCGCTTCTGCTTTACACAGCTGCCCGTGGGGAGCTCGTGGGTAAGTGAAGTGGAAAACAAGGCACGTCATTCTCTCACAGCTGGATGAGGAGGAGGTTCAATCATTACCCTAAGATCTGGAATTTCATCTCAGTAATTAGTAGATGCTGTAAGTGTGTTGTATATGAATACCCGTATGCAATATGGAGTATTTGGCCCTTTTGAGGGACAGGAAGGAGTAGGCGCAATGACAGAGATTCTCTCACAAACAAGGTTTCTAGATCGAACTCCTGGTCTGTGTGTTGCCGCTTGAAACCCCGCGGGGCTGCAAGAAGTCCACGTCCAGTCGGCACCGATGCGGCATTTCCTTTTATCTCCCCGCGTCCACCCCAATTTACTAAGCTCTATCACATCCATCAACACTCATAGTTATTATATCCAAAACTCAAACATCACACTCAAAAATGACGGAAAAATCATCCAGCAATCCAGAATACATTGCCCAACCCCCTGGCCCGTGCTGTTGGGCAGGCACTCTCCACGAAGGCAGCCCGCGCGGCGACGTGGAAGACATTCTCGAAGTGCCCACCTACGTCATCCGCCCGTCGGCTGTGAAGAACTCCCCGCCGCCCAACGGGCATGTCATTCTCTACTTCCCGGACGTGTGGGGTCTCTCCGTCAACGCCAAGTGCATCATGGACGGCTTCGCCTCCGTAGGCTACACGGCGCTCGGCATGGACTTCTTCCGCGGCGACCCGATCTCAAAGTATCGCAACGCCAAGACCGATCCGCTGCCGCCCGGGTTCGACCTGGCCGCCTGGCGCGCCAAGCACTGGAACTTTGCCACGGAGAACGTTCCCAAGTGGACGGCGGCTGTCAAGGAGAGGTTTGGTGCCGAGTTGAAGGCTGCGACGGGCAAGGAGGCGAAGTTTGCTTGCGTTGGGTATTGCTTCGGGGCCCCGTTTGTGTGTGATTTGCTTGCTGGGGTTGGTGGTGACGGGGAGCCGGTTGTTTCCGCTGGTGCGTTTGCGCATCCGACGGCGTTGAAGGAGGAGCACTTCACCAGCATCAAGAGTGAGTTTTGGCCACGAAGCGACTGGGGCCTTCCTTTGATTGTCCTTGATTTCTTCCACGAGGCAACTAATATGGGGTGTATGACTGTAACTACATCGTAGTGCCATGGTTGAAGATATTTGTTCTAAAGTCTGCGAGTTGAGGTGGCTGACCCGAGTTCCAATAGGGCCACTGCTGCTCTCCTGCGCCGAGAACGACCAAGCATTCCCGACCGAAGCAAGGAGAAAAGCAATCGATTTCCTCCAAAGAGAAAAGAAGATTTACCACCTACAGGTCTTTCAGGGCGTGTCACACGGTTTCGCGGTGAAAGGAGACCCCTCAGATCCGTACCAGCGTGAGTGTTTGCTGCCTACACGATATCGACGTTGAGTTAGATTACCTTGGCTAACGCAACATCTTTTAGGATGGTGCAAGGAGCAGAGTCTTAGCGCCATGATTGACTGGTTCGACATGTGGCTGGTTCAGAGCTCTTGATGATGTTGAAAATGAAGGCCCGCCGCAATGGTGTTAGGTTAGGCTAATACTAGCTGTCCCCCAGATATGAAAATGTCAGCTAGGGTTCGAGAATAGCACTTTGATTGCATTGAACTCGTTATCAAGCTTGATACCGCAGGTGAGAAGAGTCGACAGGGTTGTACTGATCAGGACGTGGATCAGTTGCAATACTTGGCGAGGTAGCGAGCTTTCTTGTCGTTTTCGCGACTCGCATAATGAATTCTATAAACATGCAACAATCCCTACTCTTTTCCTAGGTGTGTCTTACCAGCGTCTGAAAGTTTTGTGTACATCTGTGAAGGGCTGGGCCCGTTGATACGGGCGGAAATTGGCAACCAGCACACTTACACAACTGGGGCATACGGCCTAAGCTGATGTCGATTCACAAATAGAGCGTACGTAAATCAAAGTCCCTGACTTGTAGACTGATTGAATTTGAGTAGTGTGGACCCGGTAGGTGGGCGTTTAGCCCGTGACAACACCTAACTTGAGCAGTCCTGCTGCTCAGTTTCCTAGATGACGGGCACTACCTGCTCCCGCCACTGTCGGGAGCTGTTCGGAAAGAGACTGCTAGCATCAAAAAAGGCATATAATCACATCATCAGTGTCCCTGCCCGCCCTCTCAAGCTCTTTGAGTCGTTTCCATTCAGAGCGACTGTCGTCCAGAGACGAGTTGATGGCCACCACCGTAGCCAGCCTCTCTAATAGTCAATAAAAGTTCACGTAACCGTGACTGACTAAAGCTTCCCATCTCAATATGCATGAAAGCTCAGAATGGTGCTTCAGCATCTTATCCTGGACGCAGGAGCAGCGATGAAGTCGTCCGGCAGATAGTCTGCGGTGACTGACTGCATGTCTATCTTGTATTTTGATTCATCAAAACTGCCGAGGCCAATTTTTCTCAAAGAATCCAGCCCATGTGGCCGCAGGGCCAGCCTGGTACCGTGTCCGGGCATTACAAAGCCTTTGCTTCCAAGACGAAATCTGTTGAATCTGTTGAATCAGTTGAGCCAGGAGCCAGCAGAAAAGTCTTTTGAGGGTTTTGCTGAGGTGTCTTGCTATCCCTACAGCAGCAGTGGTAAGCCACAGTACCTAGGTAACGATGTTTTCGTGGTGACTCTTTTTTGTCCTCCCAGGTAGTCCGTCTTTCACAAGTATCTTCCCGCAAAACGGGCATCCATGCCCTGGATTCGAAAGACATATCTTCCCAGTTCCAAAGCCACTCGGTTGCCTGGTGCCCTTTCCCTATTGCGCGCTTGTTGGTCTTTCTCCGTCCTTTGCCAGCAACCCAATTACCTTAGAGGACTGTAGTAACGGCAAATACAATAGCAAGAATTCCGATTGGAAGCGTGAAGAAGAAGGTAATAGGACCCCAATTGGTATCTTCATCATCTGCCTTCTTTTGCTCGTTCGAAAGAAGCATCAATGACTAAGCATCAATGACTGAAGAAGACAGTCTGTAGAGTTGCTGCCCTCGGGACAGTTCGAGCCGTCGATTGCCATGATGGAAGTCTGCCTACGGTAGAACAAAGGCGAAGGTGAACGGGCTGGAATGCTTAACCTGTGGGAAGGTCTCCGAAATGTTGATATTCGGCGCCGCCGCCCAGTATTTAAACCGATGGACCGCAGATGCGGCCCGCTGATAGCGGGTGCTTGGCGTACAGCAAGTCCATGCAATGTTGGCTATCTCCATCGTTTTACTCGCTTCTCCTTGCGCTGTGGGGAACATTACGGAGATCAGTGCTCATTTTCATGCATTTTATGTGCCACATTGCCTTGGAAAAGCATACCGTTATCTTTACCCGGGGCTTTCCGACCACTCAAGTGGCAGACACGTTCCCATCATCTAGAGTTCCGACGACCCTGCATATAGCCGCCGCCTTGCAGTATCTAAGAGTCCCGAGTAAACGTAAATGCTCTTCGAGAGGTTCCACCAGGAGTGTCTTAATGGGTGAAATGTATCATGCAACATCCTAGTGTGCATGCGCTCATCTCATAGCGCGCCAGCTTAAACTCCCTGTTTGATGACTACGGCTTCCGAAAATTGTTGGACAGCAGAGTGTTTGTTTCAACTGATCGTGTGTTTATCAAGCTCTTAGAGTTGGAGCCTGCATCAAAGGATAAACCAGTGCGAGGCCAACGGCTCCTTGGCTTTTGTCTTACTTCAGGTGATAACGGATAACGTGCTGCTCCGATGCCTTACAAAAAGAAAGCGTAGCCCAGCCCGTTTGCCACCGCTAACCTCTCCCAGTCACGTTGTTTGAACTTCTCACCGGCATCCATCGTTCCACTAGACTATGCTATATGACTTACTGCCTCCGTCTCATTGGACCTTGACATAAAAGACCCTGACGCTAGCCCCGCGCTTGCTAATGACTAATATTAAGGGTCTTTCGCGCACAACCGCATCGTCGAGGCGCGTCAGTAGCTTCTCCGCACGCGACGCTGGAATTACCCCTGTGCTGTGAATTCGCGCTTTCGGCCACGCCAAAGCAGACATTTCAACGATTCCTCACGTGGTTGGTGTAGCTGGTAAGCTTGTAATTTTTCTCGTGGCACCGAGATGGTCAACGATGTCGAACAGCCTGCGTCCTCTTCGGCCCCGGGGTCAAGTTAACAGCTCCAACTCCAACCTCGAGACCGCGTTGCCAAAAGTTTCCAAGGGACGGGTGGCATGTGGGCAGTGCAGGAGGCTGCGGCAAAAGGTACATCGTGCCCGTTTATGAATCTCACCACTTGGTGTTGATGTTTAATTTACGTAGTGCGACACTCAACGGCCGTCCTGCGGACGATGCTTGGCGACTAAGCATGAATGCAACTACGAAGCAGAACTTGGCGAGACTCGGATGCAAGGGATTCGGAAAGTCAACCGTCAACTCAAGGGAGAAGTCGACACTCTGAGATCGCTATTCGAGCGACTTAAGTCAGCAAACGATGAGACGAAAGCCGACATCATGGCTCAGCTGGCCGCAAATGATTCACCTGACGTGATCCTTCAAAGACTAGCAGATGGCGAAGACTTGCCCAGCAAAGCGAAGGACAATAGCTCCCATCCTACATCCGAAACTCGGCACTCTGAGCCAAGCACCGAAAGTCCTGACGGGCTCATCAAACTTGAAAGAGACGATGAGCCTCCGTTCCCTCCAGGGGTAGTTCAGTGGCATATTGACAAGATGCATTACCTACTTCAACGTGTGGAAAGCGTTGATCTAAATGCAAGCGCGGCAAAGGCGGAACAGGATGGCAACTCTGAATCACCGGACGATGAGGGCGAGCATAAGACTCCGGAGTTTCTCCAGGCCATCATCTTGGCTGATGGTGCAGGAAGACATCGTTCAACGTCTTCTTCAAACGTTGGCTTGCCACCCGGCGCGGTGGAAGGCTTTGGGAACCTACCTTTATCGAGCGCCGTGCGAGCGAATTACTATCCCGCGGCAGTTCAGGCCCGGCAACTCCTCAACCTCCAAACTGAGGAGTACCGCCTACCTTCGTTCATGGCCGCAGACGGAAGCCCCCTATCGAACATCTTCTACAGCTACAAAGAAGCTGCGATGGAAATGCTGTCTAATGGTGTCCCATCCCTCCAGGTTCTCGGGCCCTCCGACCGCATCGACCTGGAGCTCTTCTTTCGTGATCGTGAGCCGCTAGACTCTTACGATGTTCATTCTTGGGCTTGCGAGATACTAAAGAATCTTGAGGGTTATGACATATTCGTCAAGCTTGCAAGCGTAGCTCTCTACACTACCTATATGCGAGTAAGAACTAAGCTGTTTAATCTCTATCAGGAAAAAAACCAGAAACAGCCGCGCTAACGGGAGCAAAAGTGGAATATTCTACCCACAGCCACCAACTACGCTCTGATGCCAGAGATGATCCGCCCAACGAAGCGCCAACGATTCATACCTCATCGCATGACGATTGACCTGGTACCACAGTAAGAAATGCTCTCATCTATCTCTCCGTGAGTGGTTTATGAAATCTGACATCAAGATTAGCCCTGCTATCCGCGACGCGCTGATCAATAGGTTCCGCGATTGGCTCTCTCCAGGAACGACAGATACCGGCGGAACCAGCGTAGGCTGGCCTTACAGTCTTGACGCTGCGGTGGATATTTGTCCTATAACGGGACGTAGAATGCTAAGCCGTGCCTTTTTTGAACACGCCACGAATGGGAAGAACTGGAGTCTGGATAAGTCTATCCGCCCCATGTATCCTGAAATTGAGGGCATGGGATTCAAGATTAGGGATTGATCCTGGCTCTCGTCTCTGAAGCTCATGTGAAGAGGGGAATGTTTTCGCTGATACAAGAGAAATGAGAACTTCTCACTCGGACTCGTTCCCACTCTTTCTATTGAGGGATATCAGGTAGATACAGTTCAATTAGGTGCTGCCGAAGTGACAGTCAAATTGATGGGCTGAGGCTGAGTTTGGAAGGCGGTCTGAACCTCAAATTGCGTCAGCAGAACTAAGAGACGTCAAAGATATGATGTTTGGCTCAACTTCTGCTGCGCAGGCTGCCCAGGAAGGAGACATTTCGATGTTGTCTTAACCGGAGCAGGCGTTACTCACTCTCGTGTGCTTTGATGTCATGATTTAGGAAACCCCCTGCCCCATGCCTTAATGGTCTTCGGGAATGTTGAATAGTCGCTTCTTCTGCGAAAGTTCTTCCAAAGAACCTGATTTCAATATATTTCAACGCTGGACACATGCTCACAGCTTTGGCTAGGTTTGCTGTGCAATGATCTGAGAACCTGTTTTGATTGTTACATATGGAAACACTGGTGATGTAACACAGCTATATAGGTCTAATGGCATTGGAGTATGACTGCTTAATATTCGGATGCTCTCAAAAATCTTTGTTTGCTCCACAAGTTTAAGCATCGGCCTGGCACTTCCATAAGGTCGCTCACCATCCCGAGGTGATGTGTAAACCAAGCGCAAACCCGGATTTGAAGAGCGTGTCTCGACCTTGCTCGCAAGTCCGTCAGAGTAACATTTCTGCAAGGGAAAAGTCACAAGTCGATCATAAGGTCTAGAAGGATCCCCAATAGTGCTTGTCATAGTCGCCCTGGGGTTTCCAGAGTGCCGCTGGATTATAAACGGGGATCGGCACGTCGGCTACCCATTGTCAGCAAGGACGCAACTTTGAGTCTTGTTTCTTGTTTCGGCATCAACTTACTTCCATATCCAGTGTTCGGCAAGGCCCAATCCGGCGACGGCGGAGCTACCCAACCTGGCGGCGCTGCTGTGATGGTGTAGGTACTTGTATAGGGTACAGGCGACTCCTTGGGTCCCAGTGTCTTGATGCCGTTACCCGGCCCATAAGAGTTGTCTCCCTTGCCAAAGATGTTGCTGATTTTGTTCACAACGCTCGTGCCTGACTCTGTCCAGATTGTGAAATCCTCAACAATAACGTTCGTGGCAAATGTCAGGTCGTTGGCAACCAGATACAAGGGCGGTCGTTTGACACCATCAGCCACCGAGCCTAGATTCATGTCCTTAGCAAATCTCCGTCTCATCATAGAGCCTCTAGGTAGAGGCTTACCTGAAAAGTTTCGAAACACCAGATTGCTTAAAGCCACAGCGCCCGTGTCAGGCTGAAGGGTGTTTTGCCAGTATTGGTTTATGTCCAATCCATAGAGTGATGCTTTGGAGCGAAAGTTTTCGAATGTCACATTCGTGACATACCCGGAGCCTCCAGGGTATGTCTTGATGAAGGCGATGTTGTTGCCTTGAATGATGCTGATGTTGCGTGCATGCTGCTCATTATTAGCTGATGCACCATGCCTGATTCATGTGATCCTTACGATGTTGGCAATCGATGCAGACACGTTAAGGCTGCCGATGGAAATTCCAGATCCGGCTTGGTTGCAGACCAAGTTTTCAACAAGAGCATGGTTGGAGGGACTCTTGACCGAGACGCACTCGTCTCTGTTGGTCACCTAGCAACAGCTTAGCATCTTCGACGAGGTGAATTAACAGACGCAAATACCTCTATATCATGGATCCAGTAGTTTGTTCCCACGACGTCAACACCATCATATGAGCCAAGATTAGCTCCGCGAATAGTCAAGTGATAGACCTCTAGGTTGACAGCAAAGTCAAAAACAATGTGGAACTTGGGGCTGTCAACCAGAATGAGATCGTGAACTGCAGTGTTAGTCGGCGAAATCAGGCGAACTAGCCGAGGGCGGAAGGTGCTGAGATCTGTAAGCGATTGACGTTCACTCCAAGGTCGTTGAATACCGTACTTTGCTAGATTTCTATACAAGTAGCCTTGGCCTTGAATGGCACCCTTGCCGTTCTCAGAGTAGAATTCGAAGTCGACGGCTAAAAGTGTTAGCTGCGTTCATAGTGGGGGAAAGAGTAGACGTACGATTGATAATTGTGATGCCGTTTTGCAAGAACTGGCCGTCACCTTCGCCGTTGATGGTTGCGTTCAGCGGCCCAACTCCAGCGAAGCCTTGCAAGATCAACTCACGGTCAACAGTCCAGTTGCCACCGTACGCCAGGGTGATGAGACCGTCGAGCTGGAAAGCCCAGTTGGTTCCGTTCGACAAGATCACCGTACGCTTGATCAGGTACTGGCCGTCGGGGACGATGAGCCGGCTTCCCGCGTGGGGCAGTACACAGGTCTTGAAGGCCTTTTCGATGGCGTCGGCCGCATCTGTGGAGTTGTCGTTGACTGCCCCGTAGTTTAAGATGTTGCACTCGGTGACCTTCTTGCTCAGACTTGTGGTTGGTCCGACGGGACCGGTCAGCTGAGCTGCCGCTCGCCACGCTGAGAGGAAGCCCAAGATGTACGCGGCTCTCATTTTCAGATTTGGCTGTCGTGGGAAAATGCAATACAGAATGGCACTGGAATTTGTACACAGAGGAGGTAAAAGCTCTAAATATGAACGGAATATGTATTTGACTTTACTAGTGTAGATGAAGAGCAGAGATTCTCCTACTCCAAATTACGACATTTGATGGCTCTGTTCACAATGCTAGGATAATTCGACTAAGTCGGATGAGTCTACCGATCAGGATCTTGAAGCATGAATACGAGTAAGCAACCGGAAATTCACTCGTGAGGGACATATCCCGCCTGTCAAGTTAGGACTCATGATCAAGATACAGGGCATCATGAAGCCCGTTCGACGCTGTTTCGGACCTTCGTCCAGTTGTAGACTAGGCCGTTATTGAGGAAATGGGTTAAAGCTTCCCCGCCTCAGGTAAGTCAGGCCTTGACCGCTGAGTCAAAGGTGAGAAGTGAGAGAAAGGCAAAAGGTCGCCTAGTGAAGGTGTAATCCACTTATCCAGGCAACAGAGTTCATGCAGCACCATGATGGCAGAAAAGACAGTTATATTAGCTCCAAAGCAATCAATGCCCAAAGTCGCTAAGCTTGGGCTCCCCCCTGTGATTGCGTGACCGAGTCAGCATTCGGCCGGCTCAAGTCCAAGCTTCTGAATACGTTACAGAACAGGATGCAGGATGCGCCTTATTGGTGGAATTTGAGCTGTCAATTACCGAGACCCGACGGTTGAGTTCTAGAATTCGACTGGCATTGTACTTTACACAGTAAGTTTGCAATTTGAGTTAATCCGATACCAGAGAGACGACGTACAGTACAGACCCGTTGTTGTACGATTAGGCCGGGAAAACGGCATCTCACGAACGGTTGCTTCGCGACTTACAAGGGCTGAACGGGAAAGAGCACTTTGAACATTTGAAGGCGTCACAATCCTGCATCTTGCATCATTTTTATCTGACTGAAAAATGGTTCAGGTGACATCTTCACAGAGACACAACCCTCCGCTTTCCTGAGTAACTTACTCTGAGATACCTGCACACCATTCTTGTCCTGCCTCTTCTCTGTGGAGAAAGATTGCAGTATTTGGCCACTCAATCCTCAACAATGGCGCCAAGAAACGTCCTCTTGCTCGTCGCAGACGACTTAGGAAAGCAGCTCGGTTGTTACGGCTGCCCTTACATCAAAACACCAAACATCGACAAGCTCGCCGCCGAGGGCACCAGGTTCGATAATGCCTTCGCAAGCACAGCATCCTGCAGTGGAAGCCGCTCCACAATCTACACGGGCCTTCACACCCACCAAAACGGCCAGTACGGACTCAACAGCGGCAAGCACCACTTCATGACGTTCGACCACGTCGAGACCGGGCCTACTCTGCTAGCCAAGAATGGGGTTCGCACGGGGATCATCGGCAAGGTTCATGTCGGACCGGATGCCGTGTACCCCTGGGAGTGGCGGGCTGAGAGCTTAACCAGAGACGTGTGGTGGTCTTCACAGCGTGCCGCAGAGTTCTTCAATGTTTCCAAGGAGGATGGTCGGCCCTTTGTGCTGACCGTTGGGTATCACGATCCTCATCGCGATCGTACGCGCGGTGGTTTTGGCAATGATGAGCCTGTTGATGAGAGGATCAAGAGTGTCAGCTACCGGCCAGAGGATATGGTTGTTCCCGGGTTTCTCTCGGACACTCCTGGTGTGAGACAAGAGCTTGCAAGTTACGCAAAAGCCATCAGCCGCCTGGACCAAGGTGTTGGCATGATCCTTCATGAGCTCGAAGAGTCTGGCTTTGCAACAGATACCTTGGTCATCTTTATGAGCGATAATGGCCCTCCTTTTTTAAACTCCAAGACGACGCTTTACGACGCCGGCATACGCCTTCCTCTCATAATCCGGCTTCCCGGCGCAGGCTCCTCTGTTAGCCCAAATCTAGTCTCTTATGTTGACGTTCTTCCTACGATCTTGGACTGGATCTTGGGCGATGCCTCAGATCAAGCCAAGCAGCAGCTTTCCGGTCGTTCCTTTTTCGACATCATCAACGAAAACCATGAGCTCGCCAAGTGGGATCACGTCTTTGGCTCTCACACATTTCACGAATCTACCAACTATTGGCCGACACGTTACATCCGCACAAGACGCTACAAGTATCACCGCAATATTGCCTGGAGGCTTGACTTCCCCTTCGCCAACGACATTTATGGCTCGTTGACATGGGAAGACATTCGAAACGCAGATGAGAATCCAAAGATGATTGGCGAAAGACAGCTCAAGGACTATTTCTTCCGTCCCGCAGAAGAGCTGTACGACTTGGTCAACGATCCCAACGAAGTCAAGAACTTGGCCAAAGACCCGAATCATAAGGAAGTGCTAGATGAGCTGCAAACCAGACTGGAAGACTGGCAGAGAAGAACAAACGATCCGTGGTTGTTCCGAGACGGGATCTCGGTCCTATTAAACAAGCACCACCTCGATGCTGGCTTTGAAGTGCCTGATAAATGGGATCTCGATATTGAGCACCCCGAGACAAAGGGCGATGGGGTAAAGAAGTACCAAAATCTGCCGTTTGGCGTAACTGGTCCCAGATCCTAATAAGGTAGTCTTATGAGTCAATCACTATGATAACACTGTGAAATTCTCACAATCACGGTCCTATCATCTTGCTCGCTTGATTTGATGTAATGTATGGGAAAAAAGATTTCATCGGGATCTGCTTCAAACCCTCTCGTCCTGCTCACTCGGTTCTTGGGTACGACTGTACAAATTTAAGGGAACCAGGTTCAGTCAATAAAAAGTGGGTAAACAAATAGACTCTAGATGTCTTGAAAATATCTTGGAACTCTTCACTGGCAATACACCGCGATCCCGGAGGCCAGGTGCTCGTCACTTTGAAAGTGCCTCGGTTCAACCCCTGGGAAGCGGATGTTGAAGGTGACATCGGCGCAAATCTTGTACCATTCAGTTGGTCCCGTACAAACCAGGAGCATCGGTCCCTAAACGCCTTAGTGCGCCGTTATCAATTGGAAGCTCGGTTTGGCGCGAAGCAAGAGACATGGGCGAGAAGCTATCACGGATAAATTTTAGTGTTTGTATCCGTAAAAGCCCAGTATTGTAGAAAAGTTGCAACGGTCAGAGACTACCAACCACGCGGTTCGCCAAGATGGAAAAGGGTAATCATCCGAGCCCTGCCAAGCGCTATCCCGCGTGTGGCAGACGAGGGTATGCGAAGGATTGGCGGGCCGGCACAGTCCTCATCTTTCCCCATTATGTCGTGATGGCGTTCGGATGATCATTGCCGAGGAACCTACCAAAAGCTTATCTTCACAGTCAAGTCTTGGCGGGACATGGGTTCGTCACTTTGAAAAGTAAATGGAATGATACGAGCGGTTATTCCCAGTCAGGTGGTAGATGTGAAGAGGGAAATCACGCCGGGTTGGTTGGCGATGGTGTGCGACCTCGGTGTTCGTTGTACCGCCTTCGCAACAGATTAAAACGGTCCAACGAAGTGTATTTTAACTCCAGCGGTGGAGATATAGCCAACACACTGTCGGAGCCTGTGAGTTTTGACAGCCACACTGGCACTTTTTTTGATCGGCTGTCTCGTGATCTAAGCCGCAAACATGAGCACGCATAAGCCACCTGTCGTTGAAGTTCCCTCCGACGGGGAGAGGGCATCAGCAGGCATACACGACATCGACACGAAGACTCCCTCCTTCGAAGTTGACTCGCCCAAGGAAGAGGTCAGCGACTTGGCCGAACCCCAGGATACTTCCCAAAACGTCGGTTTTTGGGAAGCGCTCACACGTCGGAACACACCACGAGATCTCGACGCCATCGCCACAGAGCGAAGCGTCTTTGATGATCCAAGCTTGGCGCCCTTTTACCAACCCCCAGCAGGGTACGAGAATGTCCACCGCTTCGACCCGCAGGAGCGATGGACATATCGCGAGGAACGCACTGTCCGGCGAAAGACGGATTTCAGGATCTTTGCCTGGATTCTGGTCATGTTCTTTGGTCTCAACATCGACAGAGGCAACCTTGGCAACGCCGCAGCGGATAATCTTCTCAAGGACCTTCATATCAATACGAATGATTATAACAACGCTCAGAACATGTACCGCATCGGGTTTCTGATTGCTGAAATCCCTTCCCAGATGATTGGCAAGCGTCTCGGACCCGATCGATGGATCCCCGTCCAGATCATCCTCTGGAGTCTGGCATCCGGCGGACAGTTCTTTATGCACAATCGGGCTGGTTTCTTTGCCTGCCGCTTCTTCATCGGTCTCTTCATGGGCGGGTTCATCCCAGACTCCATTCTTTACCTATCGTACTTTTACAAGAAGACCGAAATGCCGATCCGCTTGGCCCTGTTCTGGTTCGTCGACTCCATGTCCGGCGTCATCGCGTCCTTCATGGCCTACGGGATCCTGCATCTGCGCGGCGTTGCAGGAAAGGAAGGATGGCGGTGGCTCTTCCTGATCGAGGCCCTTGTCAGTTTCGTCATCGGCGCCGCCAGCTTTCTCTTCCTCGTCCCGGGCCCAACGCAGACAAAGACGTGGTGGAATCCCAAGGGCTACTTCAACGAGAGAGAGGAGAAGATCATCGTCAACCGGGTCCTCCGCGACGACCCTTCCAAGAGCGACATGCACAACCGAGAGTCGCTGTCTTTGGGCATGCTCTGGAAGAGTCTCAAGGACTACGACCTGTGGCCGGTCTACCTGATTGGCATCCTCTTCGAGATCCCCACCGCACCGCCAAAGACGTACCTCACACTGTCCCTCAAGGCGCTCGGCTTCAGCACCTTCAACGTCACACTGCTCGCCATCCCCGTCACCGTCTTTGCGGCAATCAACATGCTGTGGGTCACGTTCCTCACGGAGAGGTTCCATCAGATCGCCATCATCGGCCTGCTCTCGCAGGTCTGGGTGCTCCCGCTGCTCATCATCGAGTACACCTCCATCGAGAGCCTGTCGCCGTGGGCGCAGTACGCCGTGACGTTTATGATTCTCGGCCAGCCATCCACGCATGCCGCGCACGTCGGCTGGTGCTCTCGGCTATCAAACGCGGTGAGAACGAGAGCCATTAGCGCTGCCTTGTACAACATCACCATTCAGCTGTCTGGAATAGCCTCGTCCAATATCTATCGAGAGGATGACAAGCCTTATTACCACCGAGGAAACAAGAACTTGATTGCAATCACTGTGGCTACGATCTTTGCGTATGCTTTTGCCAAGACCTACTATACCCTTCGCAACAAGTCCAAGCGGGCGAGATGGAACAGCATGTCGGATCAGGAGAAGACGGCGTACTTGGCTAACACGAGTGACGAAGGCAATAAGCGTTTGGATTTCTTCTTCGATAGCTAGATGGAAACATATGGTCACTAGCGCATCACACCTACCGCACAGGATATGGACGCGAGGAAGTTTGAACATGCTCCACAGGCCAATGCCGTCCAGACTAGTTTTCTGCTTAGTACAAAGCCGTGGGGCATTTTAGTACCAATGTAATTATTTCCTACAAGACTGCCTTCCTGGCGACCTCACAACCGGCAGATACAAATATTGCTCAATCACACATGATATGGACGTCCACCAATTGGATTGAAATCTGCCACACCAACGACAAATATACTAATTACCGTAAGTCGTAAGTTCAAGTCCTATTTTGGGAATATAGTGTGTCTCACCTCCTTCATCTGTCTCCTCCGCACCTTGACGAGCATCTCCCCGAGCAACTAATTCCTCGTCTCCTCACGCGCCAAATAAAAATCCCGCGGCAGGGCAAACTCGTACGTGTGCACGACCGACGCCAAGAGCATAGCCTGTTCCTGGTAGAAAAGGTTGTGGCCGACACAGCCTCTCGCGCCGGCGGAGAAGGCCAATAAGTATTGCTGCAGCTCCTTGCTCTTGTCGCCGAGTCACCTGCCTGGGACATACCTGTCAGCGGCCGGGAAAACGCTCTCGTTGCGGTGGGCAACAATGCTGGACATGCTGATGGTTGTATTGCCCAGCAACCACTCGCCGATGATATTCATGTCCTCGGTCGGCGTCTTTCGAAGCAGGCCTTGAGGCGAGGGAGGGAACAGTTTAAGGGAATCGTCGAGGTAGGCGCGGAGGTAGGGGAGATTCTTCACCTTTTCACAGGGGGTGAAGATCCCGTCGACGCCGAGAACGCTATCAACCTCCTCGCGGAGGAGCTGGAGGTATTTTGGGTTCTTGAGGAGCTGTTAGAGGACGTTTGTGACGGCGGTGGCGGTGGTGACGCTATCCGTGTTCATCATGATATTGATCTTGGTGATGATCTCGCCCCATTCGAGGGCTGGAGGAGGTGCGGCAGATCTTTTCTACTAAGTTTGGGCTGAAGAAGGCGAACGAGTTGCAGAAGCATCACAGTATTGGTGACAACTCGGCTTAGGCTCTTGCGAAGTTGTAGCAGCCTCTTTGACGTGTCATACATACTAGTAGCCAAGCGATAATTACATAGCGAGGCATGTTTAACGGATCATACTGCTAGCTCATTCGATCTGTGATCATGGCGTTGAACATGCAAGAGGAGGAGTCAAGGACTTTCCTCGTTTTCCAATTCTTATATGCACGCCCTAGGAGATGAAGGTACTCGGCGGTGGTCCTAGGTAACTCTCTCGTACTCCTCCGAGATCAACAACGAGCTTCTCCAAAATCAAGTTTGTATGTTTGAGATGAACCATCACCTTGTGCTCTCCAAGACCAAGGCCATTCTCATCCAGATCATGCTTCCGCAACCAAGAACAGTCCTGAACGGCATAGAACCAGCCGTCAGGAAGATCGTTGGTCTTGGGCGACAGTCGATGAGTCTGTATAGGTCCATCATCAACCTGCAAGTCGTACGACATCGGGTCTGCCGGATCCAGGTCGAGCGTCATGTTAAAGTACAACAACAGGGACGGCCTCGCTGTCTGGGAAAAGACGTAAAAGCTGTACACGAGTGCCGAGGTCTCTACCCCCGGGACAGCGACGATCGCTCCCGCTGGGGTTCTACCGCACTCCGGCAGTGCTCTGTAACCTTGCGGAGGACGATGCGCCGCGGGGATGGAGACATGCCCATCACTTTCGACAAACCCTTCTTTGAATGAGTCGGGCACGCATCTGCCAGTGATGGGTAGATGGACCTGCTCAAAGTCGCCCTCCTCCGATCGAATATCAATCAAGACTTCCTGATCAAAGTCGCCAGGCACCTGATCCCAGGCTACCGTGACCTCAATCCGCGCGTCATCTCCATCAGGGTCAAGCGCGCCAGAGTATGACGAGAGCTTGATCCAGGCATGCGGAACCGCGGCCTTCCAATGCGTGACTTGTGGTCCTCTGCTGTAGATCTCAAACCACCTCCTCCCCGGCCCATACCGGCTCATTTTCCCTAACGTCATCCCAGGAACCAAGTCCCGCCGACTAGGATGCGTTCGATCCGACTCCTCATTCGTCCTCCCCGGCCGAACACCCTCGTGGCCTTCAACAGCGATCCCCATCTGTCCCATGACGGGATTTGAGCGCTGCCGGCGCTGGACGTAACACAAGCCGCTAATCATGTCGCGATACGGCGCGTGCCACGTCTCCTCGTAGCCGTAGTGCGTCTGGCACATGATCTGGTCCCACTTGCCGCCCAGCAGGGCGTGGAACTCCTCTGCGAGGTCGTAGTCTGCGTCAAAGAGGTCGAGGACCTCGCGGGCGAACTTGTTGGCGGCGTTGCGGCGCTGGCGGGCGAAGAGTCTGTTCCGGCCCAAGGTCACCTGGAGTTTGGTAAAGAGTGTCGAGGCTTTGACCGGGTGCAGGACCGTTTCGAATATGGCTGCTTTTTGATCCTCCGAGGCCTGGTTGTAGATTTTCTCGGCTGATTGCAGGAGGGACTCCCAGCGGTTCACGACATCTTCTGCCTCGTTGTAGTGGATCAGGGAAAAGGTTGTCGGTTCGATGTGTTCGTGTCTTCGTAGCGCGGCGAGCCGGTCGTATCTTTGCCACACCGACGCGATATGTTGGGACTGATCGTTTCCAAAATTTGTCTCTGCCATTGTCTTGTAAAAGTTTGCGAAGTCACCGGCGCCGATGGAGTTGATGTCCCAGGCCAAGGTCATTGCAAAGGTGAGCGGAACTTCCATCGGCTTGATGTCGCCCACGTTGAAGACCCAAATCTGCTTTGCGTTGCGTCTGTGGGCTTCTTGCAGCTGATGCCAGGTTTTGCCCTGTTTCTTTCTGTCAGGCATCTGAATCGCTACGAGGATGGATAAATCATAGGACAAACCAGAGAGTTGCTGTTGATCCACTTATAGCTCCGTGGAACTCCCACATACTCGAAGTGGTAGTAAATCTGTCTCTCAGTCAGTTTGTTACATCTTCGAAATCCGCGCCGTGGAAGGAAATTTTCCTACACCTGCGCCTCCTTTTCTATGCCTCTCTGCTCCAGAGGGGAGACGCCTGATGCTGCCAAAGTTGTCATCGGCAAATAGAAGCGTAACATCATCAGGTACATCCAGGTTTCCCTCCTCATACTGCTCCTGCACCTCCTTATACAAGGCCAGAAGCTCTGATTTTCAAAGTTAGTCACCCGTACTTTTTTCGAATTGGGGAGCCAAACGCCACGTACGAGGCACGGCATCTTCTCTACCATGAATCTGCTTGATTAGAGCCCGCTGCGTCTTGATCACGTCCCGCACCACAGCAGCCGGGTCATCCGTCTTCATCTTCCTATCGTACTCGCCGCGCATACCCAGAGTGAAGTATGACTCGCGGCCCTTTGCCCTCTTGACGCCCTCGTCAAAGAAGGCGGTGATTTTCTCCTTGTTGGTCAGCCAGTTCCAGCTGCCGTCCGGGTTGTCTGCGAACCACTCGTTGGACATCCTTTGCATGGGCTCGTGGTGGGACGTGGACACGGCGATGCCATAGTCCTCCGCGAGCTTCGGATTGAGGGCATCGTCGGTGAAGAATGAGGCGCCAGGGTTGGGATAGCCTGGCCACATTGCCGGCCATAGGAAGTTGGCCTGGATGATGAATTCAGTATTTAGATTTTCTTCTTGGTTTTTATGGTACCGATGGTTTACCTTGAGTCGCAACAATAGCTCAAAGACCTTCTTGTAAAATTCAGAGGTGTAGCCTCCAAAGTTGGCCCTGGCCCAGCCTGTAAGGGCAGGAGCCTCATCGTTGATGAAAATGCCGCGGAACCGAATGCTTGGTTCGCCTTGATAGGTTGGCTCTGAAACTGCGTAGATAGCTTTGTGGTGCTTGGGAGGGACATCAGCCCAGTAGTACCAGCTTAGACACCGCTCTGTTAGCCAGGAATATGATCGTGTATCATGTATGGGAGGGAAGTCCTACGGAGAGACTCCGATTTGCTCAGAGAGGGTGTAGGCGCCGAATATCGCCCCTCGCTTGTCGCTCCCGGCAATGACGAGGGCTTTCTTCACGCCTGGAAAGGGTAGGTCGATGACGTTGGTGGAAAAGGATTCCCACTTCCCTCGTATCTTGCCAAAGCTCAGCTTCCCGTCATGTTCCAGCCGCCGGAGGAGAGAGCTCGATTCGATGGATCCGATGATAATTACAGCGGCAGATCCCAACGTGGCATCAACTTGGGCACCTTGGACGACTTGGACCGTGCTCTCGTCGGACTGGGTGACCCGACCAAAGTCCTGCGCGAGGTTCTGCGCTGCGATGTGGATGCCGATCGGATCTGACTCGTCCACCAAGATGGTTGCGCCGACCAAGTCGAAGGGCTCGGCGCCTCTAGGCAACGGAAACGTCACAATGGCTTTTTCAAACATTGCGTTATATTATCAAATGCTGTCACGAGTTATGCGTACAAGTTGTATGATATGATGTTGGATCCGGCTTGAGCCATCTCAAGCTTCTCCTCTCCAAAGACCGGCGCACCGGGTCATTGTAGGCCGAGGCCGGCTCCTTAAAACCGGTGTGATCAAAAAAAGATTTCCTCTGGGTAACCTTCTCATCCCGCTTCCGGCTTGGCATTGATGAACAGTAGCTTTTGTTGAGAGAGTTTGGCTCGAACCCGCTTCCATACTTCCTATTCCTCTCACATTATCAGTCATGTTATCTCACTGCATCTCAAGCGCTGCCAACCCAGCCTGTAGTTAAGCTAGGCAAGTTGTGTAACAAGAAAAGCAAGCAGATCTTGCGTAGACTGTGTCTACCCCTCAAGAAAGACTACAGCAACTTCTCCGCACAACAGGCCACATTTAGTTAGCCAAGCCATCTCAAAACCCTTGGCCCGGTGTCCGGTCCGGGCTCGTTCCCCCGCACGCCAACCCCGGTCGTTAACCCCCGCCTCCGCAAAACCTCGATGGAGCTTTCTCCAGGTTGTGTAATAAGCATCGGCAAAGACGGCCTGGAATAACCGAGGGGGCCAAACACGCCAGAGCCAGAACGAAGAAGGAAATGTTAGGATTGTCACGGTTCACCACGCCTCATACGGTATAGCGGCCCACCGTGTTCTACGGACCTATGGCTGGAAGAGTCGCGCGCATATGCCCAAGATCGCGTGGTCTCAGAACCTACGTACGGGGTGTGTATGCCACCCCGGCCTTACCAAGACAATGGATTGCCGGTTGGTGTTGATCCAAGCTTAGAAGCCCAAGCTGGCCTGACCACCCTCAGATAAAAAGGGCGCCCTTTTCGTCCTCCCTCCCTCCCTCCTTGTTAGTCTCTTGGCCGTCGGATACGCCGAGCAAGCTGCCCAGCCTAGTCTCTTGCGCGGCACAGAGCCTCCAACGTCGAACTGTAACTCTACATAGGAACTTAGCATCAACGAAAGTTGTCATTTCACAATGAGCAAACCTGAGATCATCGAGGCACCCGACGTGATCGAGGACGTGGCCGACGGCAAGCAGCGAACAAATTATGACAAGGTCGACAATGAGGTTGCCAAATATGCTGGGGAGACAATCGTCGAAATTGACGCGGCGACTAACAAAAGGCTGAAGAGGATGATTGACAAGCGAGTCTTGAGCGTCATGGTCTTCACCTACTTTATGCAATCGCTGGACAAGGGCACAATGTCGTTTGCATCCATCATGGGCATCATCCCCGATACAGGTCTCGTGGGCCAACAGGTACAGTCATTGTGCCCAAAATCTCATGCGTTTCATACTGATCGAGCAGTACTCCTGGTTGACGACCATCATCTACCTCGTCATTCTCTGCGTCGAGTATCCGGTAAGGGACCACTTTCCTCCCCACCAGAGATGAAGTGTCTGGTCTGTGCTGACCATGTATGCTACTTGATAGGAAAACTACATTATCCAAAAGATTCCGATTGCGAAATGGCTCTCTTTCAACATCATCATGTGGGGAGTGACGCTCAGTCTGCACGCTGCATGCCACAACTTTGTCGGCCTGGTCATCGTCCGCGGCTTTCTGGGTGCCTTTGAGGCGGTCTGCCAGCCATCCTTTGTCCTGCTCACGTCCATGTGGTATAAGCGCGAGGAGCAAGCCTCGACTGCCATCTACTGGTACGTAGACATCGCTATTTAGAATTCTGGGTGACAACGACACGATCCATAGCTAATGCCCTCGTGTGACGTGCAGGTACATGATGAATGGGCTCCAGCAAATCATCGGCGGGGTCCTGGCGTTTGGGTTCTCCTTTATTCCCGCCTCGTCGCCCATCAGGACTTGGCAAGCGCTGTTCATGACGTACGGCATCATTACCGTCTTCTGGGGCAGCTTCGTCATGTGGTGGATGCCCGACTCACCGATGAAGGCGCACTGCTTCAGCGAAGAGGACAAGAAGCTGATGGTGGAGCGCGTGCGGTCCAACCGTACCGGGTTGCAGAATCGCAAATGGCGCAAGGAGCAGGTCTTTGCCGCTTTCAAGGACCCTCAAGGTGAGCCTCGTTGATCCCCTTTTTGACATGAATTTGATTCTGACCGATGTTGAAGTCTACGGGTTCGCTCTCATCCAGATCCTGACCACCCTCCCGTCGGGAGGTCTCGGCGCGTTCGCAAACATCATCATCAAGGTACCATCTGCCAAGAGCAACTTGAGCCGTGACATTGTTGAGCTAATCCATGTGCGCCCAGTCCTTTGGCTACTCCACGTGGGAAACCCAGCTCCTCCAAAGCGTAACGGGTGTCCTGCAAATCATCACCATGCTCACAGCCTCCTGGATCGACAGACGCTTCAAGCAAACCATTCTCGCCATGATGGCCGCCGTCGTGCCGACCATCGCCGGCACCGTCGTCCTCCTCACCGTGCCCTTTGAACACAGCAAGAAAGTAGGCCTGCTCCTCGCCTACTACATCATGATCTCCTTTTGGGCCTGCAGCGGCCTGGCCCTGTCGCTCGTCACACGTAACGTGGCCGGGCAGACCAAGAAGGGCGTGGTGATTACGAGCAACTTTATCTTTTGGGCCGTGGGCAACTCCATTGGGCCGCAGGTGTTCCGCGCCCAGGATGCGCCGAGGTACTTTTTGGCGCTGGCCATTATCTTGGGGTGTTTTGTGTTGTTGGAGGTTGTGCTTTTTGCGCTGCGGACGTATTATGTTTGGCAGAATAAGTTGCGCGATGGCAAGATTGCGCGGGGGGAGGCTGTTGCCGATACGACGCATTCTCACGCGTTTGAGGATATGACGGACAAGGCAAGTTGTTATTCTAGTGAAAAATTCTCTCGTGCATCCATCATTGCAGTGCTAACATCATCATAGGAGGATGTCAACTTCAGATACAACTACTAAGAATTTGTCTTGGAGTATATAGCTGTATATAGTTCTTGCTGTATGGATCTGAGAGGATTGCTAGGCCGTAGGGTGATATTGCACAGACTTGTTGGCTTACACAAATTCATTCTGTCTTCCAAGTACTACCAATTCTCAAAGCTACCAAGTGTTGAATGTTTTTCGGAACTAGCAACAACTAAGACGGAGATCAGAATTATTAGGTTCATGGCCCCCAACTTGGCAAAAGCTTGTGAGAATAACATGATTAAACATGACACGATTCTGAAAAGGAAAAGGAATACGCCATGGACCCTGACAGGGGTCCTTGCAACGCTGCAATCTTCCCCTCACTTTAGAGACCAGGGCCCCCGGTCAACGTCGAATTTCCCAGTTGCTCTCAACCAGCCCCTCCCCCAGAATCCCCAATATCGCGACCCCAGAACCCCACGCCATCCACTTCATTGGACCCGACTCGGGGTCCAAAGGTCTAAAAGCCAAACCCCGTTGTTGGAAGCGGGGCAATTACGAGTTTCCTGCCATCTCAGCGACGGCACGCAGGCCCGATTCGGGCCAGAGGTGCGTACCCGAGGATGTCGCGTCTTCTCCAACCCGGGAAAAAAAAAAAGAAAACATCCCGCCGGCAAACCGCAAATTTCCGGTCAAGGTTGCCCGGCCAAGATTGCCGGTTGGTTATCCTGCTTGGTAGAAGTGCCAGGTCGTGGGACGACGCGTGGGGGCCTTCCCCCTCGGCACCGAATTCCCCAGCCAGTCGGCGAGGGAGTAGAGTCTCTATAAACTCTGTGGAGAGGAAACCGGCCGATTGTCGGCCGATGATGCGGAGAAGTCGCCGAGGGACGATATTTATCTGGCCAGGAAGAGACTCGCACAAGGGGAAGCGAGACAGGTGTTTGTTTTGTCACAGAAGAGACTACGCCTGTGGATTTTATATACGTGGGCTTGGGAGCTAAGGGAAGTCATTTAGCGTGCTCAATCAACTCAGAGTACCTACATCGTCAGGACAATTCTCAGCAATGTGTGGGCAAGATGGCAATTGCGGGAGTGGCTCGTCCTCCTCGACGCCATCATACCCGCTGCGGGCACCAGTTCCCGTCGGGAAAAGAGCCAACAAGCTGTACAGAGACCGCACGGCAAACTTCTACTCGCCAGGACAATGGGAGAAGGTCAATCTGCTTTCGTAGGCCATTCTCTCTCGACAGCTTGCCCGGTTCTAGAGGCACACGCTGACCGTTCCGTCCGCAGTATGATGCATCTCGCAGTCCGCTCCGACCCATCCGTCATCAACCTCTCAGTATGGCACAGCCCAGGCCTTAGCCGACCAACCTTTGCAGATGCCACGGCCTCAGCGAATGACTACCGACCATCTCAAGTCGGCGACTCCTTCGGGCCGTCCTGGTCAACGCACTGGTTCAGGGTCCGCGTCACCATCCCGGAAGAGATGCAGCAGATGGAACACCTCGAACTACACTGGGACTGCAGCAACGAAGCAACGGTCTGGACCGCCGAGGGGCAGCCCCTCCAAGGCCTCACCGGCCGCGGCGAACGCATCGAGTGGATTCTCCCCGCGTCGTTCAAGGACGGGAGGGAGCACGTCTTCTTTCTCGAGATGGCTTGCAACGGGATGCTGACCAACGCGGCGGGCGAGCCCATTTTCAAGAACAACGCCAACGGGGATGCCATTCAACCTCCGGACCCGAACAAGTCCTTTTCCCTGACGAAAGCCGAGATTGTGGCTGTCGATCGCCAGGCGCGGGCGTTACACGCGGACATCACCGTCATCCACCAGGCGGCGGAGGAGTTCCCCGAAGACTCGTGGGAGCAGCACGAGGCGCTCAACGTTGCGACGAGGATCATTAATGCTTTTCGGGTCGGTGATCGGGAGTCGATTGTCAAGAGCCGGAAGATTGCGGAGGAGTACCTGGGCCCCAACGTCAACTCGGCAAACGTGTTTAATGGCGGCGGCGACAAGGGGTCGAGTGTGCTCGCCATCGGTCATTGCCACATTGACACCTGTTGGCTTTGGCCGTGGGAGGAGACGAAGCGCAAGGTTGCGCGGTCGTGGTTGAATCAGTGCGATTTGATGGATCGGTATCCGGAGCTCAACTTTGCCTGTTCGCAAGCTCAGCAGGTGCGTATCAAGTGTCTGGACCTGTTGTAGTATGCTCGTCCTGGCCTCCCTTTGCCTTTGAATAGTCCCCACTGTGATGACTGACTACTTTTCCACAGTTCAAATGGTTAAAACAAGGCTACCCCTACGCCTGGGAACGCGTCCAGGCCAAAGTCGAAGCCGGCCAGTTCCACCCCATTGGCGGATGCTGGGTCGAGCACGACACCAACATACCCAGCGGCGAGTCTCTGATCCGCCAGTTCCTCTTTGGGCAGCGCTTCTTTGAGAGCAACTTTGGTCGCCGCTCGACGACGTGCTGGCTGCCGGATACGTTTGGCCAGTCGAGCCAGATGCCGCAGCTGTGTCGCCAGGCCGGGATGAATAGATTCCTCACGCAAAAGATTTGTTTCAACAACATGAATGAGTTTCCTCATACTACGTTTAACTGGTATGTGGTGTGCTTCTGTTATGTGGGTAGTTGTAACAAGGGCTTCGGATGCTGACTTTGTGTCGTTTGGTAGGGTTGCTCTGGACGGGAGTCAGGTTATTTGTCACATGCCGCCTGCAAAGACATACTGCGCCAATGCAACATTTGGAGACGTCAAGCGTAGCATGACGCAGCACAAGTCACTTGACCAGGACCACACGTCTCTTCTCGTTGTAAGTTTGAAGCTTCACACTACTTGCCCAGCAGCAGCCCTCCGTGGGCAAAAAAGTCTTTACTCAAAGTCTCCGCATCCTGACCCTGTGCCTTAGCTCGGCAAAGGAGACGGCGGCGGCGGTCCAACATGGCAACAACTCGAGAGCCTGCGCCGCCTCAGGGGCCTCTCCGACACCACCGGCCTGCTCCCCCGCGTCCACTCCGGCGGCAACCCCGACGATTTCTTCGACCGTCTCGAAAAGAAGGCGCAGACCCTGCCCACCTGGCACGGCGAGCTGTACTTCGAGCTCCACCGCGGAGTCTACACGACGCAGGCGCAGACGAAGCTGAATAACAGAAAGGCTGAGATCCTCCTCCGCGACGTGGAGCTGCTGGCGACCATTGCTTCCGTCGAGGAGAAGTCGTACCGGTACCCGAAAAGGGAGCTCGACGAGATGTGGGAGGGGGTGCTGCTTTGCCAGTTTCATGATTGTCTTCCCGGTACTGCTATTGGGATGTGCTATGATGATTCGGACAAGGTGCGTCAGTCCTTTTTTTTTTTTCCCCTCTGTCAGAGGGTGGAGGGTTTGGCTCATGAGTGATTAGGTTTATGCAAACGTGTACGACATTGGCAACACGCTCTTGCGAAGCATTTACAGCGTGCTGAAAGTCAACGACACCAACGACAAACCTGCGGAAACCAATAAGCTGGTAGCTCTCAACACGCTAGGATGGCCTCGAAAGGAAGTCGTCACCGACGAGGACGGCAAAGATATCATCGCACAGGGCACCGGAAACATCATATCCGCCCAGGAGGTAACCCATACAGACACCAAGCACCTGGTGACGGTCAAGGAAGTCTCTACGGGCATCTTTGTCCTCGAAAACAGCCGCTTCACAGTCACAGTGGATAAGGGGTGCATCACGTCCCTCTACGACCGCCGCGCCAAGCGCGAGGCCATCGCGCCGGGGTCCAAGGCCAACCAGTATGTCATCTTTGACGACAAGCCAATCTACTGGCAGGCCTGGGACGTGGAAGTCTTTCACCTCGATACGCGCGAGGAGCTGCAGGGTTCGCAGACGTATGCTCTGGGGAGCTCGCCGCTGAGGGCGAGCGTGGTGACGGAGACGAGGATTAGCGACGTCAGTTCCATCAGGACGACCGTTAGCCTTGCTGCGGCTTTTGATGGGGATGAGAGCGGGACGGGCGTGGAGTGCACTGCCGAGGTAGACTGGCATGAGACGATGAAGTTTCTCAAGGTTGAGTTTCCGGTGGATGTGAGGCATCATGAGGCTTCCTATGATACGCAGTTTGGAGTGATTCGCCGGCCGACGCACTATAACACTTCGTAAGTTCCTAACCACCCTCTAGCAGATGGAATCATCTATCACGGCATCTAACACTGGGCATGTAGTTGGGACATGGCCAAGTTCGAAGTATGCTGCCACAAGTACGCGGACCTATCGGAGTACGGATACGGCGTGTCCATCCTCAACGACAGCAAATACGGTTTCGCCACCGTCGGCAACACGATGCGTCTCTCCCTCCTGCGCTCGTCCAAGGCGCCCGACGACGGGGCCGACATGGGCAAGCACGTCATCCGGTGGTCGATACTGCCTCACCGAGGACCCCTGGGACCGGAGACGGTGCGGGCGGCGTTTGAGTTTAATAACCCGCTCAAGCTCGTGTCGGCGTCTGCGGATTGTCCCTTGTTGACGACGGGGGCTGGAGCTGGCACTTTCCCGGTTGCCTTGACGGGGGACGAGAACCTGGTGCTGGACACGATCAAGCGCGGCGAGGATGACGAGGACGTCGGGCTAGGTGAGTTGCCGGTTCGTCGCGGGCGGAGCGTCGTTGTGCGGGTATACGAGAGTCTGGGGGGACGTGGACGGGGCAAGGTGGTGACGAGGTGGGAGGTGAGGAGCGTGCACAAGACGAACCTGCTGGAAGACGACGAGGAGGAGGTTCGTGTTGATGATGGCGGGTTCGAGGTCGACCTTGGCCCGTTTCAACTCCAGACGTATCGACTCGAGTTGGTAGACTAAGGGAGGTAGACGATGGTCATCAGTACTAGAGGCGCGAAAAGATTTCCTTGCCAGATGTCATGGCCCAGGGCAGGTGGTCATCCACTGGGTTAAAGTTGTACGACTTGTGCCACTTAAGACACAGGTCAAGAGATTGTAAGTACATAGTTATTTGGACTTATGGAAGTTGCTTACGGCTCTCCCTTGATTTCATCCTACTCTACTAGCAGAGTAAAGTGCTGTCGATAGAGCTATACATCTTGAAGCCTATAGAGATCTTACCAAGTAGCACAAATACGAAATCACTGTACAAAACGTGCATGATGAAAAAGAGCTTCTTCATGACTTGAATGTTCACATGCAGTCGAAACAAGGCGTTGGTGGCGTCACTGCATATTAAGGTCCCTGGAACCGAATCCGTGGAAATGGTTGCGGCGGTAGACATGTTGTGTCACGTCTCACAGCTTGGGATATGCCAGTATGTGCCTGTCCGTACTTGACAAAAGTGCCCTAGAGAATCAAGTCGAGAACACCTCATACCATCTGGGCGCCTGTAATCGTAAGTCTGGTGTCTTTTTGGGCTTTAGCAAGCAGTGTTACATGCGCTGTGGAACAGGGTATTATTCAAAATCTGTCAAACTCGCTCGCAGTCTGCAGGGATGTCTTTAGTCAACTCTATCTGCATGCCGACCTAAACTGGCAACATGGGGCCTGAACAGTGAAAACGCGGTAATGAAGCGCCCTGGAGTTCCGAAATAAAGTTGGTGACTCGTGACCACCGATATTTCACCCCGTTGACATTCGGTAGCACTTCCTCGCTGGAAAAAAGCGGCAAAAACAGCCCCCGTGCCCTCTGGAGGGCCGGATGGCACGCAAGAATTAGCCCACGCATGCGGCGTAGCACCAATCACGTCCGGGGAGCGGGTGTCCCCCAATCCGCTGCACCCGCTGCGCAATAGTGGCTGGAGGCAACACTAACCGTCTCTTCCCCCTTACCCCTACAGTACAATTACCCCTAAGGTACAGTACAATAGGTACATGTACCCTGGTTCAAACAGAGTTTCAACAACTGCCACCAGGATGACCAGGAGGGGCGTTCGTTTCGCCAGCGGGGAGTTTTCAGTCCAGTTCCGGCCCCGAGGGAAGGGGAGGAGGAAAAAAAAAAAAAAAAAAAAAAAAAAAAAGGAGACCCGGAGCAGCAGGGGGGGGGTGGCGTTCGGGAGGGGGGGGTTTTCAGCGCAATTCCGCGCCGAGGGGAAGGGGAAGAGGAAAAAAAAAAAAAAAAAAAAAAAAAAAAAGAGCCCACCAGAAGGGAAAGGGAGGGGACTTCCGGAGAGTGACGGAAAACCCAAACCTTCTCCAACGACATTCCTTACCCAACTCGTCGGACTTCCGTCTTGGTGCAGCAGTTTTTCTTCTTCTTCTCCCCGGCTGCTCTCATTTCGCGGCGATAGAGGAGGTATGCATAATGTCCGGCCCGGGGCTCGCAGTTGATGCGGCCGCCTTGCCTGCACATGCGCCGGAGCCTCGCGACGACCCCTCGGTTGCTGGCGCTGCTTCATTTTCGTTTGATGCGCTCGCCGCCGACCCGACGAGCAGTCCCCCCATTGACCCTCCCTTGCTGGCCGAGGTCGGGGACGTCGTGGACGATGCCGAATCGCTCATAGACGACCTGGACATGTTTCCGGACAGCGACGAGGAGGCGGAGGCGCAGGCGCAGGCGCAGGCGGCGGTGACGACGGAGACGGAGACGGATGACGCGGTAGACTCGGACGAGGACATGACTGTCTACCACGCGTCTGGCCGGCCTTTCATCGACGCGACTGAGGACGAGGCGACAGTATACGCGGCGGCGCATGGCGAAAGCGAGATGACGTTCGCCGACGATGAATCTGTTCTCACCAATGATGCTCGCGTATGTCCAACTCTCGCTCTGCCATCCCGGCAACTTTTGCACCCCTGACTCACAATGCTTGATGCCTCCAGTCGCCGCCATCACATGGAGGAGGAGGAGGAGGACCCGCCCCGTCGTTGAGATCGCTCGAGACTTCGGACTTTGAGGTTGTGTCGATGATGTTGAAGAAGACGAGTCTGAGGAGGTGACGGATGCTGAGACGGAGGACGTGGTGGATGTTGAGGACGTTGAGGACGATGTCGTAGACGTCGTCCCTCACGTATTGGTAACGGCAGCAG